TCAAAGGGCTCTGTGACTCAAACAAGTTAATAGCCCAAGAGACATGGTCTCACTTGCCCCCATAACCACTTGGTGGGGGAAATAATGTAGGCATTATTATCTTGGGGTCCTCCCCCAATCAGAAGCCATCGGTAACAGGTAATGGCCCCACAAAGTTCACCAGCCAGCTGCCCAAGTGAGCAGGGGTCAAAGTGCACAGGAGTGTGAGCAGGACAGGTGGCTAGTGAGGGAAGGACTGGAAGGAATAAGAATTCCCACAGGGTAATCTTGTGAGAAAGTGGAAAGAAGAAAGGGGAGATGGAATGGACTCGAAGGAATGAGAGAAGCCTGAAAAATAGTAAGGCTGTATTTTTATCCAAGGGACACAAAAAATACCTGTAAAAGGCACAGTCACTCCCTCAAGGAGCTCATACCCTTGATGGAGCATGGAGAAGTTGGGGTAAACAGAAAGAACTGTAAGTTGACTAAAAGGAAGGACTATTTTATGGATCCCACAGTAATGATGTCAGTGGACATAGTAGGGGCTCAGTAAACATTTTGTTTGTTTATCATGTTGACGGTAGACACCATGAGAATAAAAATAGAGTTAGTGATCAATGTGTGGTACTGTTCACTGCCACACATGTTTAGATAAAGCATGGAATAACAGTGGGAAAGCCAGAGAGCCAAGACCACTTTGGCTGTACCAGAAAATATGGGTAATATTTTTATGAAACAAAGATGCAGTCAAGGGAATGTTTAGATAAATATTGGGGAATATAGTGATATTTGTCTGATTAAAACTCAGGGAGTGAAAGCAGGAAGGGAGCCCTTTGAATACAAATTCCTCATGTGACAGGGGAGGTGATATGCCCATTACATAGGAAGTTCAAGGCTATACTCAGCTCTCTTGACTCCTGGACTTAAAATTTCTCCACTACTCCATGCTGCCATGTTGGAAAGTAGTGAGAAATAAGGCTAGTGTAGATAAGGTGGGGCCTGATAAGCAGGGCATTATATCTGGGAATAGAGGTTTGGGTATTGAAAATCCAAGGTGTGAATAGAGGAGCATCATAGAGGAGACATTGGCCAGTGGAGGAAAACTAATCCTGGGTTTACACAATGAAGAAAGAAGTAGTTCCATTCTACAGTCAGTAAACATCTGATGGTTTGGCAAGTACCCAGCATCAGAATGAGAAATTTGGCATCTGGGGATTTAACGTAAACACTAAAGATAACCGGGGCACACAGTGGGGTGGCCCAGACCTTGGACAGCAGCCGCCTGAGCCTAAAGGATGATGGGTGTCAGCCAAATATTCCTGAGCATCAAAGGCACATCCCAGCCACAGCACAGAAAGCACTGATAGATTGGATGCCCATGGATGCACAGAGCAATTTCACATGCTTGGTGCATGAGTGGAGAAATGACCCATTAAAGAAAGTCTTATTAATCATTATCTTTAGCTATGTGACTCTTGATTTCTTCCCCAAGCTCTGTAAGATGCCTTGTGCCTGAGATACTAGCTTCACAATATAGCCTTCCACAGTCGTAGACAACATGTTTCCCACATCTAAGATTCATGTGATGGCAAATCCATCACTTTAACCATTTTTAACCATTCCTTGACATTGTTTAGAATGGCTGCAAGCTTTTCCTTGACAATGGTCACAGTGACTGAATCACAGATTTCCATAACACATCTCCATTGACAGAAAAGGCAGATCATTAGGACATCCCTATATTTTTGTTTTAAAGGCAGAGTAGTCAGGATTCAAGGTGTTTTTCAGGAATGATTTACATACGGTAAAATGCACTCTACCTCAGTATAAGTTCAGTGAGATTTCGTGAAGGCATGCCACCCAACTTACCCATGCTCCTGTAAACTACAGAACATTTCAATCACCCCAGGTAGTTTCCTCACACCCGCTCCTAATCAAATTCTGCCCCATGCCAGGCAATTGGTGTTCTGACTTCTATTGGCATAAATCAGGTCTGCCTGTTCTAGAACCTCATATAAGCAGAATCAGGAATGGATACTATTACCTTGCCTGGCTTTTTCACTCAGCATACTGTTCTTCAGTATTTGTCCATGTTTCTGTATGTGTGTCAGTAGTTTGTTCTTTTTGTTTTTGAGCAGTATGTCATTGTATAAATATACCACAATTTGTTTTTCCATTCTCCTGTTGATGGACATTTGGAGGGTTTCCAGATTTTGGAAATTATTAATAAAGCAGCTATGAACAATCTTGTACTAGGTTTTTGTGGACATATGATTTCATTTCTCTTGAATAAACACATAAAAGTGACTATGTTGGGCATAGGACAGATACCTGTTTATCTACAAGAAACTGATTATTTATAAGAAACTGATTATTTATGAGAAGATTATTTATTTATAATAAACTATTACTTATAAGAAACTGATGGTTTTCCAGAGAGATTATATCATTTTACATTTGCACCAGCAACATATGAGGATTTTAATTGTTCCATATCCTTGCCAACATTTGGTGTTGTCAGTATTTTTCATTTTAGCCATTCTAGTAGGTGTGTATTGGTGTCTCATTATGATTTCAATTTGCCCTTGCATGATTAAAGTTATATTGAGCACTTTTATATGTGTTTATTGACCATTATACGTCTTTGTGTGCAATATGTCTATTTATGTGTGTGCTAATTTTTTGGGTGGTAGGGTATTTTGTCTTTTTGTTTTTGACTTGCTAGAGAACTTTATGTGGCACTGTGAATATTTTCTCCCCATCGATTTTTTGATAAGCAGAAAATTTTTATTTTCATGATGTCTAATTTACCAGGTTTCTTCTTTTTTTTCTTTTAGAAATTATTATTTTTTATTATAATGTTCAGTTAGCCAACAGGTTTTCTTCTTCTATGATTAGTGCTTTTTGTGTTCCAAGAAATCTTTGTCTATGCCAAGTTACAAAGTTACTTTGCTAAGCACTGAGAGATACAGTGATGAACATGACAGCAAAATCTCTGACCTGCATGAAAGAGCTGGAGATACACATTATATAAGTAATGAACAAATGAAGAAGGTCACAAGTTGTGGGAACATACTGAGGAAATTAGCAAGATATTGAAGAAAAGCAACCTGGAAAAGGGCACTTCAGACAAGGGGGACCAGGAACGCTCTGAATGAAGAAGTAACATTTGAGCTGAGACGTAAAGATGAAGAGGAGGGAGCCATATGAAGACCTGAGGAAGAGCATCCCCTAGAGAGGAAGCCGATGAAAATGCTGACAGATGGCAAAGAGCTTAGGCCATTCTGTGGGACTGGGCAGGCCAGACCATACCGGGCTTTCTGGCACGTGTAAGTTAAATTTTATCCTAAGAACAATGGGAGACATTGAGCGGTTTTGAGCTGGGGGAGAGACATGATCAGATTCATGTTTTAAAAAGAGAACTCTGGCTCTGCATAGAGAATGAATTCTAGGTACAACTGGGGCTTCCAGTTTCAAGCTAGAGTCATCTGGGCAGAAGATAATGGTGAAGACAATGAGGGTGGAGAGCTGGGGGCATACCCAAAGTATCTTTTGGACCTAGAATGGACAGCACTCGCTGAAGGTCTGGTTGTAGAGGAATGAGAAAGGAAGAATGTCAGGATGACTCCTGCAACTTGTTCTTGAAGGCTGGGCAGGCGGCGATGCCATTTTCTGGATGGAGCAAACTGAAGGAGGCTGCCCCGTAGTCTCTCCATGGCACCCTGTGAGCTGATGGGGTGCAGACAGGAATGTCGGTCTACAATGTGCTCCCCTCCCTTCAGTAATAAGAAATACCAGTGGCCAACTTGGCCTCATCTTCTGAAATTCTCCTAATGACTCTGTGAGGTGGGTTCTATAATACCCTGAGACAGAAAACAGGCAAGAAAGTAAGCAACACCAACAAGGTCCCAGCATGGATGACCTCCTCCCTCTTCTTTTTCCTCCTCTTCTTCTTCTTCTTCTCCCCCTCCTCCTTCTTCTTCCCCTTCCCCTTCCCTTTCCCCTTCCCCTTCCTCTTCCTCCTCCTCCTCCTTCTTGCCATGGGAGATAATTTGTTTATTTTTTTATTATTTTTAAGATTTTATTTATTCATTTATTTGAGAGAGTGAGAGAGAGAGAGCATATGAGAGGGGGGAGGGTCAGAGGGAGAAGCAGACTCCCCGCTGAGCAGGGAGCCCGATGCAGGACTCGATCCCGGGACTCCAGGATCATGACCTGAGCCAAAGGCAGTCGCTTAACCAACTGAGCCACCCAGGCGCCTGATAATTTGTTTATTTATGCAATGAATGAAAACACATCTCTGAGCATCTTCCATGACGAGGCATTGCTCTGGAGTGATGATGATGACAATGATGATGAAGCAACAGCCAGAAAGTTTTAAATTCTCACTATGTGCAGGCAGTTTGTTGAGGACTTCACATACATAAAATTCTGGAACTCTCCAGCAGTTCTGTGAGAGGTATAATTATTGTCACCCAAGTAAAGATACACTGAAGCTCAGAGAGCTTAAGTGACTTGCCTTGGGTAACGTGGTAGAAATGATGAAGCCTGGGTGGAAATCTCCCCGAAAGAACTCCTGAAAAACCTAAATCTGTGTCTGTCCTTCTGACCTCTGTCCCCTCCTCATCTCGCACAGCACCTCGTGTAGTGTAGGTGCTCCTTGTTGAGCACCTGAACGTGCTTTTTAAACCTGCTCTGCCGGACCATTCGGATGGTGTGTGTGTGCGTTGGAGGGGCCTGTGGGGTCACTTTGAGAGAAGCCACTCTGGTGGCTGGAATTTAAAAGACAGTTAGGAGCCCCAGAACGTCTGGACTAGATAGAGCATTTTAAGCCATCCAGCTGGGCATCATTCATTTTCTTGTGAGGAAACTGGAGTGCAAAGAATTTAGCTCCACACTGTTAACTTACTGGTGCGGGAACTGAGGGCCAGATCATTTAGGTGAAACACACCCCGGGTCGCACAGTTATTAACTGGCCGAGCTGCTGCGTCCACAGGCCCAGCTGTGTCTCTCCCTGACAGGTGTGCCCTGGATTCCGCAGCGACGCCCCGCGCAACTGCCCTCAGGACGCAGCGCACGTGAGGATCGCTTCGCCTGGGCTCACATCACACCCGGCTTGCGTCATCCTGCACAGGTTAGTGAGTCTCTCTGGGACGCAGCTTCATCACCAGCGGAGCAGGTAGAAGGCATGGCTCAAGGTCCGTTGTGCAGGTTATGCAAAATGGTAAGTAAGGCTTTCGTAGGACAAGGCCTGACAGCCATACTCAGAATAAATAATTCAGAATAAATAGATGTGTTAGACCATATTTTGAAGTATTTATTTCTAAGTTTTGGCTTTTCTCGGGTACCCCCTTTTCCCTCTGTTCCCACTCACATTTACAAGGCTTATTGCTTGTGACCTCGGGAGGGATGTAACAGGAGAGAGCAGGACTGGCCTGCCTGGCTTCCTGAAATTCTTCCCCAAAGCCCAATCCCCAGAATCAGAGCAGAATCCCAGGTACGTGCTAATAGTCTGGGCAAGAAGCCTGGGGGCAAAACTGAAAAGGGAAATTCAGCAAAAATGTGGGAGTAGGGGAGGGAGGGACACCTGGGCGGCTCAGTCGGTTAAATGTCAGCCTTTGGCTCTGGTCATGATCCCAGGGTCATGATCCCGGGGTCCTGGGATGGAGCCCCATGTCAGGCTCCCTGCTTAGCGGGGAGTCTGTTTCTCCCTCTCCATCTGCCCCTCCCCCCTGCTCGTGCTCACTCTCACATAAATAAATAAAATCTTAAAAAAAAAATGTGGGAGCGGGGTGGGGGTGGCAGGGATGAGAGAGAATGGTTCTGTTGGTCCTGAGTGAAGAGCGAAGCAGGTCCCACGTCCTGGAATGGCCCCTGGATTTTGTCTAGGCACATGGAAAATGCAGGAAGCCTCCTGAAAAAGTGCCCGACCCACCCAAGTATGGTGGGGATGCCAAGAAGCCACACAGACGCACGCAAGTATAGTCACAGCCGACCAGAACCCCCATTTCCCTGTACTTTGGTACCATCATCATATTGAAATCATGTCAAAATTCAGTGTTCAGAGCGTCCCCAAAACCATGGCCCAATCCTCAGTGGGGAGAACCCCAGGAATGAGTTTAATTTCCTATCGGCTGGGAGGAAGAGAAACTTTAGGTTAAAAATGAAGTTGAATTATAGAGAATAAAGCAATCACTGCTTATCCCAAATATAGTGGATAAGTGTCCGGGACCACTTGTGGTAAAGGGGAGGGAACTCTGCCAGCATCTTGCACCCCACACGCCCCCCAGCATATGCTAGTGGGGCCCAGGGCTGAGAAGGAGAGTAGTGCAAGCTCAGTCCTTTCTCCAGGCAACCCCAAGGCATTCCCAGAACAGCCAGCAGCAGATTCAGGTTCGGTGGGGGCCTGGGATTTAGAAATTTGTGGCCGTCTTTATGGGGTCAAAGAGTATAAACTACCAGTTATAAGATAAATAAGTCAGAGGGATATAATGTAGAGCATGGTGACTACAGCTAATATGACTGTGTTGCATATCTGAAAGCTCCTAAGAGAGTAGATCTGAAAAAGTCCTCATGGCAAGAAAACACAATTTGTAACTGTGTGTGGTGACGGATGTTACCTAAACTCTTGTGGTGATCATTCCACACTATATGCAAGCATGGAATCATTACGTTGTGCCCCTGAAACTAATATAATGTTATATGTCAATTATGCCTCCAAAAATGGGGGGGAAAAAGAATACAAAATTACAAATATAAAAATAGGAACAAAAGCAAATATGTATCTAGAATAAGAAAAGAAATCCCAACATATTGCTACTTTAAAAAAAAAAAAACCTCACAAATATCACAAACATTACAAAACAGAAAAATAACAGTATTGTTCTTAAGTGTTTAAGGCACCTAAATAAGACCTTTTCTTCATATTTAGCTGCATATCCTTTGATTCCCTCTACATGTGACAACAATTTTATAGTATCCTTTTCTACATAGAGAGTAGGAATATGACTCAGTCTCTCCTCTAACATGGTTGATTGACATTTGTTTTTGTGATCGGGGATTGGAATGTATAAAACATGCAACTTCAGAGAACTCTTGCTGGTCTTATTATTGCTGCTAGTTTGTGGCCTACAAGCATAAAAATTCTGATAAACTCAAATGTGTGTGTTGCCATCTAGTTTTTTTTAAAGATTTCATTTATTTCTTAGAGAGAGAGCATGAGTGGGAATGGGGGTGGAGGGGTAGAGGGAGAAGCAGGCTCCCCACTGAGCGGGGAGCCTGATGTGGGGCTGGATCCCAGGACCCTGAGATCATGATCTGAGCTGAAAGCAGACGCCTAACCGACTGAGCCACCCAGGGACCCTGCCATCTAATTTTTTTTTTAAGATTTTATTTATTTATTTGAGAGAGAGAGAATGAGAGACAGAGAGCATGAGAGGGAGGAAGGTCAGAGGGAGAAGCAGACTCCCTGCCGAGCAGAGAGCCCGATGCGGAACTCGATCCCGGGACTCCAGGATCATGACCTGAGCCGAAGGCAGTCGCTTAACCAACTGAGCCACCCAGGCGCCCCCCGCCATCTAATTTTTAATTTAAAAAACATACATTTTATTGATGTATACAATAGTGACCAAACAGGATTTTAATTTTTTCATCTGTGGGGCATTAATTAAGAGCAAAGAGCAAATGACTGTCTCGCTTGGTTTTATGCAGACGAAACGAAGTTGCATTGATCTCTTTTAAATGTTTTTTTTTTAAGATTTTATTTATTTATTTGACAGAGAGAGACACAGCGAGAGAGGGAACACAAGCAGGGGGAGCGGGAGAGGGAGAAGCAGGCTTCCTGCCAAGCAGGTTGCCAGATGCGGAGCTCGATCCCAGGACCCTGGGATCACGACCTGAGCCGAAGGCAGACGCTTAATGACTGAGCCACCCAGGCGCCCCTCTTTTAAATGTTTTTATGTGAAAAGTATGTTTGGCCCCTGCTCTATGATTTCCAGGCCTGAATTGCATCAATGTAGTTGACATAGGGGAGTGTGACTCTGGACTTTTCTTTTGTTCTTTAGGTTTACACAAGAACTGTAATGTTTTGGAAGATCCTCAGCCAGCAGCCGCTTGGTTTTAAAATTTCTTGATCAAAAAATAGAAACATGTTGTCAGAGAAATCACCTATTTGTCCTTTTTAAGACTAATGAGTTGAGTGACAGGACATTCTTTTGGAAACTCTGAGAAAGGCCAAAGTGAGACCTAAGCATCAGGTAAGACCTCGTCTACTCTCCGTGCTACTGACATTGGAGAGCCAGGCTGTCCTTTTATTCTTTTCCTTCTTGCTCTCGGTTTTGTGTTCTTGTCCTACAGGAAGTTCCCTCTTGCAGGAATTTCACGCTTTTGCTCTATTCTGCCAAAAGGGAATCTAACCCAGAAAAGTTGAGTACTCCTGAGGTTGGATGATGAATGGTATAATGATTAAGACATGGAGGCTAGAACACAGACCTGAAGCAAGATTCTTGCTTTGAAATTCCACCAAAACAGCTTAATGAGTGCTGTGTGTTTTTGAATGGGAAGCATGTGTCTCAGTGAGTTGAACTTGTGTTGAATGTGATGTTTCACTAAATATCCTACTCTCGGGATGCCTGGCTGGCTCAGTCAGTAGAACATGTGACTCTTGATCTCCGGGTCATGCGTTCAAGCTCCATGTTGGGTGTAGAGATTACTTAAAAGATATATATATCCTATTCCTAAGCTCTTTTCTAATGTATGGCACATTTATAATGAATGTGCTGTGTTATCTAGTATATTCTGAACCGAATGTTAATCAGACATTGTTGAGAACTGAAGCCTCCATTTAAAAGTATGCATGCCTGAAGGTTAAAAGAAGCTTTCTGCACACTAGAAACTTGGTTTCTCCTCCATGACTCACATCCTTCAAGTGCCCAGCATCAGAAAACATGCTCACATCACCATGGAACACCTGGTCCTGTATTTCTGTGTCAAGAGGCCGGGTGAATCCAGCGGCTAGCCATACAATTATCTCTGAAATTCCTAAACCTGAATGGCTAGCAAGCACTTAACTACACACAGAAGAGAATGCGATCACATAAATGTATCCCACTAAACCAGACTAAATGTATCCCATCTTTTTTTTTTTTAAGATTTTATTTATTTATTTGACAGAGAGACATAGGGAGAGAGGGAACAGAAGCAGGGGGAGTGGGAGAGGGAGAAGCGGGCTTCCCGTGGAGCAGGGAGCCTGACCCAGGGCTCGATCCAGGACCCTGAGATCATGACCTGAGCCAAAGGCAGCCGCTTAACCGACTGAGCCACCCAGGCGCGCCTAAATGTATCCCATCTTAACTTCACCTACTGACTCCCCAAGATGCCCACATCCACACCCTACCAGAGAGGAAGGTGGCATGGAGCGACACAGCGATCTTAACCATTTGTGGGTAAGTCATCTTACTTTTGCAAATCTTACAAAAGCACATGACCCTGTGAAACCACTGTGAAAGGCATCACCCAGGGTCCAGGATCTTCGGAAGGAGCCCATGCACCTGACGGGACCTGAAGCTTAAGCTTTGTCACCATCACAGTAGATCCGCTTCTCAGAACAGGAAAGTGACTCACAAGCTAATGCTGTCCAAAGGTGAAATTTTGTGTGAATGGAGCCACGGTGCCTTAATTCAGCTGGGTGAGATGGTTCACATTTAGTCCCCTGAGAGCAGAACAGCCTGACTCTGGAAACTCATTTCCAGACGAATAGTCCTTGCCCAGGCACTGTGCTGAGCGTCAGGCCAGAGAGAAGGAAACAAGGTCCCCTGCTCTTGAGGGGGTCACTGTTGGCGAAGTGGATCTCTGTACCCTGTGGCACGTGCTACGTGTGAGAAATGAGGAGATTTTAATGGGACATTAGCAGAGGCATGGATTCCTTCAGATGGAGGGAGTGGTGGTGGGGAGGGAGGCAGAATGGCGGGGGAAGGAGGAGGGGGTGATGCCTGAGCTGAATTCAGGGGTAAGGAGTGTTTAGGTGGAGAGGAAGGATAGAAATGCTCTTCTGCCTTCTCTCTGGGCTGGGATAGGTCATCTTCTGCAGTGATTTCCTAAAGCCTAAAGGTGGATGGACCAGCCAGGTGTGTGAAAAACATCCAGTGGGCAGAAGGAAGATGGAGAGTGTGTTCAGAGAGTACTCACTGCAGCCATACAAAGAAAGTGATGAAATCCCTAAGCCCTCCCTTTGGAAATGTCACCAGTCTCTTTGCCCAGGAAAGCACCCCCTGGTGGCGACACCTAGTAATACAAACACACTCAGCCAGCCTCTCTAAAAAGCCCCCCCTTTTCACCTGCACCTCTCTAACCCAGAGAGCTCTAAACTATGCATCTGTGTATCTTACGTATAAATCTTGGAAAAGAGTTACAGTGCTAATATACTAATATACTTCATTACATATATGCAGATAGAGAAATTAAAGATACGGGACACAAAAAATGAATTGAAAGAAGAAAACTTTAGTATTTCCCCTCCCCCCCCCACTGGGACCATCATGCATACTCATGGGGCACGCGGCATCATTTTGGAGACCTCCAAAAACTGGTAGGTCACTTGTGCTTGACAGCAGCATGGGGCAGGGGGTAAAAATGTAGACTCAGGAGTCAGTTGGTCTGGATGTGAACTTTGGCTGCACCACTTCCTAGCTCGGTGACAATGGTCATATCCTTTTTTAAAAAACATGAATGATAATTGTAAACACCTCACAGAGTTCTTGGAGAGGTTCCTTAATAGAAAACATTGAAATTAGTGCCTGGCACATGGTAAGCACTTTATAAATGTTACCTATTATTTTCCTCAGTGCCACTATTAAAAATACTTTTAAATCTGGGGCACCCGGCTGGCTCAGAATATGGAGCTTGAGACTCTTGATCTCAGAGTTGTGAGATCGAGCCCCACATTGGGCTTGGAGCCTACTTTAAAAAAATTCTTTTATATCTTCTTTTTTTTTTTTTTAACATTGTCCTTAAAAAATTTTTTAAAAACCCAGGTGGGGGGAAAAGGAAAGAGACGTCTGGAAGGACCTCCTGAAAAAGATGATTCCCAGTTGAATTCAAATTTTCAGAGCTTGCTGAGTGAAAGTGAAAGCAGTAAGAGTCAGCTCAGTCCTTTCTTAGCTAAACTATGTTATTAAAACTTCTTCACACAAGTTAGTCTTTGCTCTTACGTCTCCTTCCTGTCTTTCATCCAAACTCCTCTCCAGAGCCTCTTTGTTGTTTCCAGGGGGCTTTTTCACTTACTGCCTAGAGGAATGTCACTTAATGGCTGATGTTTGTTCACTCTCCCTTATGTCTCCTCGATTTAGCCCCATAATCAAAAAGTAAAGCCAGTCCACCCTGCAGTCAGGGTGGCTTAGGGACCCCTTTCTGTCCCAGAGGGGTTGGCAGAAGTCCAAGGGGTAGGCACTTCTCTTGATCTGCCCTATTCTTTCTGCCTCATCTTGCTCACAGAGCCTAGAAATATTGTGCCCATATTGAAGCCTCAAGGATAAAAGGGTCACACTAAGACTGAGAAGGAGCCTGGTTTACTGGGGAGTTCCCTGAACCGATACACAAGCCCTGAAGTGCTTTTCATATTTAAAAAATATCTACCTCCCTACCCACTGCTGAGCTGCTGTTTGTTGGGAGTTTTATTACTTGCTGCCAAACACATTCATGTATCTGGATTGGCCGTGTCAGTAAGGGATGTCTAATAGAGCTGAATGGAGAATGGTAGGCCCCCTGAGGAGGCCTGGACATCCAAACCATTAGAAACCCAAGAACTTGGGGTGCCTGGGTGGTTCAGTCAGTTGGGTGTCTGGCTCTTGGTTTCCGCTCATGTCATGATCTCAAAGGTCCTAGGATCAAGCCCAGTGGCATCGGGATCTGGCTCCGCGCTCAGCGGGGAGTCTACTTGAAAATTCTCTCCCCCTGCCCCTCTCCCCAATCCTGCTCACTCTCTCGCTCTCTCTTTAAAATAAATAAATCTTAAAAAAGAAAGAAAGAAAGAAAGAAAGAAAGAAAGAAAGAAAGAAAGAAAGAAAGAAAGAAAGAAAGAAAGAAAGAAGGAAAGAAAGAAAGAAAGAACTTTACTCAAAGGCTGCAACTACTTTGGTGCTGATTGTTGCTGCCATCTAGTGGCAACAACTTGGAACTAAAACGCTCCCTTGGGCCATAAACTGTTTTTCCTGTACATCTTTCTTCAACAACTTGGAACTAAAACGCTCCCTTGGGCCATAAACTGTTTTTCCCTTACATCTTTCTTCTTCCATCGTTCACTCGTTCATTCATTCACTCCCTCACTCACTTATGTGTTCATTCTATGGATACTTTCTGAGAATGTACTATATGTGACGGGTCTTCATAAATACAATAAGGAAATACAGTAATGGGGGAAATCCAGCTCCTTACCCCCTTGAAACTTACACACTTGTGGGACGATAGCCATTAATCCAATTTAAAAATGAAAAAAATATGACTGGAAAGGGTTCTAAGAGAAGAACATGGTGCTATGAGAATCACTGGTAAGGATTTTCCTTACTGGGGAGATGGATAGGAGGTTAGAGAAGGCTTTCCTGAGGATGTTCTGACTGGTCTTGGGAAGGGAATTATCTGGGCAGTGAGACCAGTCATGAAAGTGAGCTGCAGCAAAGGGAGGGAGTGTGTTGAGTACATGGGAAGAAGAGAGGACAATGTGTTTAGATTAGCACTTAATACTAGGCATTCTAGTTTTTGAATTGGGACTATGGTTATGAATTATAATGACCAGAAAATTATTTTACCTGATAATAAGCTAAAAGGATACAGACTAACAGACAACTACAGAACATTCCACACCAACAGCAGAACACCCATTCTTCTGAAGTGCACCTGGAACATTCTCCAAGATAGACCATATGCTAGGTCATAAAATAAAGCCTCGATAACCCTAAAAGGATTGAAAGTATACATAGTATGTTCTCTGGCCACGATGGAATGAAATTACTAATGGATTAAAGTGAGAACTTTTTAAATAAAAATTTTATTAAATCTTGTTATTTTTGAGTTTTTATAAACTTAATTACAAAGTCTCAAGCTCTGAGTATCATAATATGAATTATTCAAAGCCCACGTACAATAATGGAACATTCAGTTATGGCATTATGTACTTTGTAATGTGACAATGTAGCTCTTTATATAGTAAAACAAAGCTTATGAAAAAAATTCTTCACCATCTTGGTTTTTACTTCAAATACTCTGACATAAAGGGAGTTAAATAAGAGTATGTTATCGGTGAAGTAAACAGAGGTGAACAATCCACTCGGGAAACTGTGAGACATAGTCTAGGACACTGTGCAGAGAGAAGGGGATTCTCTCTGGGGAACTCTGCAGCAGGTAAAGTCCATTCAAAATGAAGGTGGTTTTGTTGTGAGCACTGAGGGCAAGGGAGGGGCATAAGTAAAAGAAAAGTCCCAGGTTTGTGACATGAGCAACTAGGAGACTGGCAGGGCATTTCATGAGCTAAAGAGGAGTGGGGAGAACGCAAGCTGAGTTTCATTTTGGAAGTGTTGAGTGTGAAGTGTCTGGGAAAATCAAATGTGGTGGGGGAGGTAGACAGGTACACCCATAAGAAGAAGCATTCAGTGAGGTAGGAGGAAAAGCAACAGAATGTGTTCTTCAAAATGCACGAGAGGGATGGCTTAATCTTTCCTCCATGCTCACAAAACACTTGAAATTGCAACTCCAGTCACACTTCACTCATGGCATCAGAAGTATTCGTGAGCATATCTACAACTCAGAATAGAGTTCCGTGAAGGGAAGTTAGCAAACAGTTGTTCAAAAAACACAGCAGTGATGCTAAAATGAACAAATGAAGAGGCACCTAATGAAGGGAACAACATTCCAGGTGCAGCAAGCGGAGGGAAGAACAGAAGGAAGAGAAAACTAAGAAAGTGAAAGCAATTATTCCTCTTTATCTCTAGGCTCCAGGATCTCTCAAGCCACGGAGGCAAGCTCTCGTGTATATAGCCAGCCCAACACCGTGCAGAACCTCCTTCCTACATGAAAGCTGCCGGCCCTTAAAGAATTGAATGTCGCCTCTCACAAGAGAGGCAGGTGGACGGTCCCTTGGTTTGGCATCTCATCAAGAAGAGGTGTAACAAACTCATCTCCAGCTGGGGGCTCCCTGACTAAAATTCATATGGAATTAAATAATTCTGGCCACTTCAGGAGAGGCGATTTGTGATAAAGTTTTCCCACCCTCCCCTCTCCCTCTGCAGTTAATTTCCCTGACCTACTTCTCCTTAACTAAGTAATCATCCTCTTCTGTGTTGGAACTCACGGGTTGTCTACACGCTTGTTTATTATTGTTGTTGTTGGTTGCTCTTGCTTTGTTGTCATTTTAATGAGTTCGCATGATGGAAATGGTGGGGAAAGTGAGGTCACGTGCTTGAGGGATGGTGGATCAAGACGGCCATGTACAAGTGGAGATCATTCGTAAATCTGCAATTTTTAAAGGACCGTTTCCAACTCTCGAATATTAAGTTAGCTTTCAAATCATATCCCCCAATATTATGTTTAGCTCAGGTTAATAGTAGGTTATATCTGGGTCAAAGGCCTTGCTACATTATTTTAATTATTGTTGTAAAGTGTCAAACTGACTTTGGAACAGAAGGAAACCTACAGAAAAAACACTTTGTAAGATACGACTTTTCTCACCTCCCACTACAAATAAAATGAAAGGGAGCTTCCATTTGTAGGGGACCCAGAAAACAACTTTTTTGCTGCCTCAAGGATTTTCTAAAGATTTTTCTAAGATATAAAGATAACATTTGTTCATCACATGCAACTTGTAACTAGAGAAAAATATACAAAAGAAAATGGAATCACTTATAATCGCATCACATATAGGGAATCACTATGAATCACTGTTCACATTTACCCTCATAAACTTGTTTAAATAAATACCATCTAAGGCATAGTTGTATATTTTGCAACTAAACACTGTACAAGGAGTAACTTCCTGTGTCATTAATATTTCTTATAATCATAACAACTGTTTATTATTTCCATCTAAAGGATGTACCATAATTCATTTAACCTTCATCTGTAGGTTAAGTAAAACAGTAAGGAGTATTTAGTTTATCAATCCTTTGTTTGAATTTCTGATCATTCTACATTCATGGAATGGATTCCTGCTTGAATGGGTACAAACATGTTCAGGTTTCCTGGTGATCAAGCAGTCATTCTCTTAATTACTATAGCATTGCCAAGCAATGACTTGTGACTGGAAACTATACAAGATGCTGGGGATATAGCAGCAAACAGAAAAAGAACATTCCTTGCCTATGAGAAAATTATTTCCTACTAGGGAAGACAGACATTTAAGAGTAAACAAATAGCAATCAAGGAGAAATTAACAGTATTTTTTAAAAAGATTTATTTATTTGTTTTGAGAGAGAGAGAGGAAGCATGAGCAGGGGAGGGGCGGAGGGACAGGGACAGGGAAGAGAATCTTCAGCAGACTCCCCACTGAGCGGGGAGCCTAAGGCGGGGCTTGATCCCACAACCCTGAGATCATGACCCTGAGAACATGATCCTGAGATCATGATCCTGAGATCATGAGCAGAGCCCAAGTCAGAGGCTTAATGGACCGAGCCACACAAGCACCCTAAAATTAACAAACAGTAAGTAGACCTAACAGTGGAGGGAAAAGAGAGTGTTGAATTGAATGAAAGCCCCACCAGAAGATGACCTTCAGGCAAATCCCCAGCCATTCCATCATCTGAGGGAAGGGCATTTCAGACAAAGGGAATGGTGAGTACAAAGGTAAAAGCATGAGAAAAGGCATGGCCTATTTTCAGTCTCAGGCTGATTTAGGAGCCAGATCATGCATAGTCTGGTGGGCTAGGAGCTTACTCTTTGGACAATGGGTAGGCAGGAACTGTTTCAGTAGGGAGAGATAGGATCAGAATGTTTTGAAAATTCTCATCCTGATTGGTATGTAGAGAAAAAAAGGAAGGTAAGAGTCCTAAAGGAGAAACCAGTGAGAAGGCAGCTGCAGTAATCTATGTCCCAGAAGGTGGCTAGGGAGATCAAAAGAGGTAGACCAATTTATTATATACTTTGGATTATAAAAGTATATGGAGTATATAGCGTATGGAAACACCTGACAGTTAATCATCAAATACCTATAGGAAGTTGAGGAAAATGTGGGAAGCAGGAGGTGATTAGAGATAGTTTCTCAACTGTGTGTTTGAGTAAATTGTTGGATGCTGGATAATATGGTACTATTATATACATGGGAACAGTGGCAGAAAGAAACCTGTTTGACACATATTAAGTATGAGTCGCCTATTAGACACCAAGTTGAGATATTAAAGACACAAATGGTACTGGAATTGGGAGTGGTAGATATGGAGTGGTGGGAAATATGAACTTGAAAATATCAGTAGAAGTGAAGAATCAAGGGAGGTCGTTAAAGATGGCAAGTGGCAGTGTGTTTTGGGAATAATCCGGGAGAAAGAGAAAGAGAAATTGAACGTGCGTGACATAGAGAGAATTACTGAAAAACTGAAGTCCTAAGAGAACACTGGGAGACAGTTTAGAACATACCTTAGAAGTATTCCAACTAGGGCGCCTGGGTGGCTCAGTTGGTTGAGCGACTGCCTTCGGCTCAGGTCATGATCCTGGAGTCCCGGGATCGAGTCCCGCATCGGGCTCCCTGCTCGGCAGGGAGTCTGCTTCTCCCTCTGACCCTCCTCCCTCTCATGCTCTCTGTCTCTCATTCTCTCTCTCTCAAATAAATAAATAAAATCTTTAAAAAAAAAAAAAAAGAAGTATTCCAACTAAGGTGTGTGGAAGCTGGGAAATTTATTCACCAAATTCCATCGGTTGCTGGTTGAGCAATGCTCTCAAGAGGTGGGGGTTGGGTGGGCAGTAATTCCCCAGCATTTCCAGCCTCCCCTAGACATATGTTAAGCCAAATCTGGTGAGCAGAGAAAGCCATCAGGCAGACTCCTAAGTGGTTTAGTTAGAAGCCATTGGATTGGCATATACAGGAATGATGAGTCCCAAAGGTATATGGGGCACCAAAAGGGTCTTCTACTCTGTCCCACTTGATATTTTTTCCATGGAATCTGAATTTTAAACATAGAGACAAAACTGGGGCGCCTGGGTGGCTCAGTCGTTAAGCGTCTGCCTTCGGCTCGGGTCATGATCCCAGGGTCCTGGGATCGAGCCCCGCATCGGGCTCCCTGCTCAGCGGGAAGCCTGCTTCTCCCTCTCCCACTCCCCCTGCTTGTGTTCCCTCTCTCGCTGTGTTTCTCTCTGTCAAATAAATAAATAAAATCTTTAAAAAAATAAATAAACATAGAGACAAACTGACAACAACAACAACAACTCTGATTGATACTGAATAGGTGTCAAGAAACAAGAAACTGTTTTAACCATAGCCTTATGCCTCCCATACACAGAGACCTGAATTAGGGAACTTAATGTTAACTCTCTGGGTCTCAATATTCTAATGTGTAGAATGGCGGGAGGTAAGTAGAAAGAACAGGGCTTCTTTCCAACTCTTATTTTACATTATTTGCATTTAGGTGTAGCGGAATTCCTTGTCCTCATTAAGTTTATCAAAGCATTCCAACAGGTATTTAATATCTACTATCTAACCACTTCAACTTATCACATTATATCTCTTTAGAGTATCTACTCTTTGCTAGTCACTGCTCAAAGCGTTTTATATATAATATCTCAGTCGTAGCAATCATCTGAGAAAGTTAACCTAAGTCTCATTTTACAGGTGACGATTTTGGTTCTGAGAGGTGATATGATTTACTCAGATCCTCTGACTTCCGAACATTTGTGGGGTTTTTGTGTTCGTTTGTTTGTTTTTATACTTCAGGACAGTGAGAGGGTTACGACTATCTTAACAGGGAAAGGGAATAAGGAAGCTATAGTTGACCCTTCACTCTCAGCAAATGCTGTGGCCACTGACACTGACCTGAGAGCAGCATGAGACTATGGGAAGCCTTTCTCCAAATTCAGCCCATCATTCTAAGTGCACTTGTCTCTTTGGATTCGTGAGCAGAACTGAAGACAGTGCACGAGGGTTCTGGAGGATACCGATTAACTGGACGTCTTTAAGCCCACAGAACTCCTTGTTATTATTCATCTTCTGCTAGGCGGCATCAAGTTAACCGTCAACCACAACAAAGATGGCAGCCGCGGCTTCACCACGGCAACGGCGACGCTACTTGCCAACGGGCGCCTCAATATTTACTTCCGGCCTGTCCGTTTAACGTCACTTCCGACACCGGCTCCCGGGCGTGTGCGCCGCTCCTCCTGCAGCCGCGGTCGGTAATGCCGAGCCGGGTGAGTGGAGTCAGAGAGAGTCTCACGGAGGGAATCCGAGAGGATGTGGGGCCAGCAACATGGAAGGGGAAGGTGGGAAGCCTGCGGCTGTTGTCGCGGTTGTGACTGAGCCTCGGTTTACCCAGCGATACAGGGAGTATCTCGAGAAGCAGAAACTCCTGGATAGACGGCACCGGGTAGAAAAGATGCCGGATGGCACGGTGGCGCTGCCCGTGCTGGGAGAGACTCTCCCTGAGCAGCACCTTCAAGAGCTGAGGGATCGTGTGGCTCCAGGCAGCACCTGTATAGTAACGCAGCTCCTGGATCCTGTTCCCTCAAAGAAGGCCCAAGGTTGTTCACCTGCCCAAAGGCTGTGTCTTGAAGTGAGTCGCTGGGTAGAGGGCCGGGGAGTGACGTGGTCACCTCAGTTGGAGGCTGATTTGCCCAGATCTTGGCAGCGACATGGTGACCTCTTGTTGCTGAGCGAGGACTGTTTCCAAGCCAAGCGATGGAAAAATCTGGAACCAGACCTCTGGGAGACTGTTGCGTCTGCACTTGGCGTCCATCGTGTGGCCAAACGAGGGCGGGTATCACCAGACGGCACTCGAACACCAGCAGTGACTCTGCTGCTGGGCGACCATGGCTGGGTAGAGCATGTGGATAATGGGATCCGATATAAGTTTGACGTGACCCAGTGCATGTTCTCCTTCGGAAACATCACTGAGAAGCTTCGAGTGGCATCGCTGCCCTGTGCTGGAGAAGTGCTGGTGGATCTCTATGCAGGGATTGGTTATTTTACATTGCCCTTCCTAGTCCATGCTGGTGCTACCTTCGTCCATGCCTGTGAGTGGAACCCCCATGCTGTAGTTGCTCTGAGAAAGAACCTTGATGTCAATGGAGTGGCAGATCGGTGCCAAATACACTTTGGGGATAACAGAAAACTGAAGCTCTCAAACATTGCGGACAGGGTGAACCTGGGACTGATTCCCAGTTCTGAAGAAGGCTGGCCCATTGCCTGCCAAGTGCTAAGACGGGATGCAGGGGGCATTTTGCATATCCACCAAAATGTGGAATCTTACCCAGGCAAGAATCTCCAGCCTCCTGGAAGCAGTGAAGTGGAGAAGGAGCATCGGCCTTATCCTCAGCAAATTATCACCAACCAATGTACAAATGGAGCAACCACGGGTTCTAGGAGAAGAACGCTGTCAGCAGCCACCAAACCAGAGTGGCAGAGGTGGGCGGAATCTGCAGAAACTCGTATTGCCACCCTTCTTCAGCAGGTGCACGGGACACCATGGAAGACACAAATCCTGCACATCCAACCAGTGAAATCCTATGCTCCCCACGTGGATCATATAGTGTTGGATTTGGAATGCCGCCCCTGTCCTCTAGTTGGCTAGAGAAGGTGGATCCTGAGCCACAAGGATCTACATGTGAGTGACCCTAATACATAAGTTGAGGCGGGGTTCTCACCCCTCTTTTCTCCTGGCAACCTATTTTAATATTTTGTGTCCCTGAAAGCAGGCTCTAGATCAGTACAAGTCATCTTGTTTGTCTTCCGTTAACACATTGAGAACGAACTACATATCTGGGAGAAGCAGTATGGCTTATTGAGATGAGGCCTGTACAATGAATTCTGACCTCAGTCCTGTCTTACCTTGGGTACGTGGTTCCAATATTCTTTTGGCCTTGTAGTTCCTTACTTGCAAAATGAGGGTGTCTGTGAATGGTCTCATTGGCTGTTGTCTAATAAGCAGTTGTACACAGGGCATTGGTTATTTTAGAGTGAAGGACACAGTGCTGTTTCCAAAATCACTCCAGCTACAGTGTGGAAAATTGACCGGAGTGGGGCCAGGGTAGAAGCAGGGAGACCTGCGAGGAGGCTTCTGTGGTTGGCCAGGGAGGATATGGCAGTGGCTTGGACTAGGGTGGTGGCAGTGGATGGATTTGAGATATGAAATCCATGGGACTAAGCAACACAGTCCAAATCAAAGCACTCAAATGGTGCAGCTTTGTTACAAAGACTGACTAAATTAGGGAAGGAAGAGTTTAAGAATTACTCTATTGTATTAACTTCATTCCCTTTAGCATTCCTAAATGAGTGTTGGGGAGGCGTCTTACATATTATGTTTGTTGTTGTAGAAAAGAGATTAAGAATGACTGCTTTAAATTATGGGGAAACTAGATTTCCAGCCTTAAGTCTGTGCAATACGCTAGCTATTTTTTTTTTAAGAGATTTTATTTGAGAGAGCGCACGAGCAGGAGGGGTGGGGGCAGGGCAGAGGGAGAAGCAGATTCTCTACTGAGCAGGGAGCCCTGAGATCATGACCTGAACCAGTCAGATGCTTAACTGACTGAGCCACTCAGGTGCCCCTAAGCTAGCTATTTTAAAAGTTCAAATTAAAATCTTAGATTTTAACAGGCCTCAGACTCCCTTTTCATATTCTTTCTCTGGCTCCCTTTTCATATTCTTTCTCTGGTGGACATCAGGGCCAACATAAGGAGCTATTGGGAATGTGAGATATTCTGCAGTTTTTCAAGCCTCACCTTATCTTATGACTGTCTGCCAGCCCCATTGTTTACCGTTGGAATGACTAATTGCAGAGTATCACTGATTACCTTTGGGATGACTAATTTTGAGAAGCACTTCAGAGCTTTGTTTTGGTGCACTTTGAAGCCGTCTGGCCTTGTTTCCTTGATGAAGGAAACACAGGAAAGTGTGGCTTTATCGGGATGGTGATTGTATCTGGCATTTGGCTGGCTGGGGTTGGGCTGGAGCTGCTTGCCCTTTTCTTGTAACAGTGTCAATAAGGACAGGATCGGTGAACCTGCTGTGTATATGAACTGTAGGTGCATTAGATACAGCCCCAGTCTCTGAGGAGCTCACAACCTAGCAGCAGAAATAACACAAAAACTGAAAGAATTGGAATACAATAAGTACCATATGAGTGATAGCATGATATAGAAGTGCAAAGGTGGAGAAGAAAAGTTCTGAGAATGGGGAAGTCTTCAGAGAGGTAGTGTTTGATACCGCTCTTAAAAACTGGGTAAGATTTTGGTAATTGGAGTCGGGGTGGAAACAGATGCTAGTGGAAGAAAAAAAAACAGGTGCAAAAAGTTTGCTCAGAAAATGTTTGGAGCATCGTCATTAGATCAGTTTGGAACAGCAGAAGCAGGGAGAGAGGTGTTGAAGATGGTGGTTGTTATAAGGATTAAAAAGAATAGTGTCTGGTACATAGCCCCAGGAAATGTTAGCTCTCATGTGATCCCACCCCAGAAGGGGGCCTAATTGTTCCATTCCCATCCCACAGGGCAGCCTGCCTGTTTGCCTTAATCATCTCCTCTTTTACATACTGGGTTTCTTCTCACATGTGTGCCTGTAGCTTTTGAGCCTTAAACTAAAACTGCTGGGACTTGAGCCAATATGGGGAGGAAGGAAAGCAGGGGAGAAGCAATGAGGAAGGTGAGTCAGGGAGCCACATGTCCAGGGGCTGAGGAGTTACCTTTCTGCCATAAGCTATGGATAGGCCGCTGAAGTCAGATACACCTGGGTGAATTCATTCACCCTGCGATATACACATTAGGCCTTGAGGGCTCAGGGGTGCCAGAAGATTGGCATGGGTTCTATCTTCCTAGAATTGAGTTTCCACTTGTATGCCTCCTGGCTTCGCTCCCTTGTCCGTGACCTGAGGCAGCCTCTCAAGATTTAGTTTCCCCATCTGAACATACGAGTTAACAATTGTGCATATCCTGAAGGATACTCTTTAGCTTTAAATGAGTTAACGTACATTAACTATCATCACAATGGCTGGCACCCAGTAAATCATTCATTCAGTAGTCTTTATAGAAGGTGAACTACCGGGGCACCTTGGTGGCTCAGTCCTTAAGCGTCTGCCTTCAGCTCTGGTCATGATCCCAGGGTCCTGGGATCGAGCCCCGCATCGGGCTCCCTGCTCCACGGGAAGCCTGCTTCTCCCTCTCCCACTCCCCCTGCTTGTGTTCCCTCTCTTGCTGTCTCTCTGTCAAAAAACAAATAAAATCTTTAAAAAAAAAAAAAAAAGAAGGTGAACTACCGTTTCCCAATTTGGGTGTGAGGAATTGTTGTACATTTGCTTTAGTAGTTAAAGTAGAATGTCCTTATTTTGAAAAGCCACTCATTGATTAATTGGGATGTACTGTGTCCTTTCTCCGTTAGGCACTGTGATGAGGGCCAGAGACACAGAGGTGAGTAAAGTTAAGTCCTGAGGGGCGCCCGGCTGGCTCAGTAGGTAGGGCACGCAACTCTTGATCTCAGGGTTGTGAGTTCGAGTCCCACGCTGGGTGTGGAGATGACTTAAATAAAAATCTTAAAAAAAAAAAAAAAAAAAAAAACTGAGTCCTGCCCACAGTGGGATCACTTCCAGCGACATGGACACAGAAGAAACAATACTGTGTACTAAGTGCTGAGACAAACGGGTTTTTACAGGCACACAGAGGAGGCAGCCATCCATGTTTGGGGGTATGGGTTGGGGGAAGTGGAGAGTGTGCCTGGGAAGATGGGAGTGGGGATGCATCAACTGAGAGTTAAAGAATGAGCCGGAGTTACGTGTGAATGGAAGAAAACAAGGGTCCCTTAAGCCTTCTCTCCACCTTGAGTATATCCATTTACATTACAGTTTTCTCCAAGCACTTGCTGGATTGGCCTGGTCAGGAAGAGGCATCTAATGGAACCAAGGAAAAAAGACTGAAAGGATCAGGAGGCTCATGGAGTGTTTGTCACCTCAGTCCAGGAATGTGTGCTGAAGGCTTCCTTTGTGAGCGTCAGTATTAGTGGCCGGGTAAGGCACCCACTTGATGGAGAGGTTGTGATTAAAAAACAGTAATGATAATTTTATTAAACTCCCTCAACCGTGAGTTGCTTGGTTCATTAACTTCATAATTTAAATAAATTGTGTGCATATATTGATATAGAGTATAACATATACGTTTTAAACATAAAAACATTTAAAATGATGGCAAATACATAGCATTTTTAATTCACTTTCTCCCACCTGGGCACACCCAATATATGTTATTCTGAACAGCCTCAGGGTGCAACCACTTCAAATTGGGCAAGCCATAAAACCGGTCATTTTCTTGGCCTTTGGTAGTTTCCTTTTGTGTGTACTGTGTGTACTGATCATTACTCAGCTGCTACTTTAGGGGAATGGTCAGCAGATGTCTGGAGTTCTCTGTAGCTCTCTCCACTCTGGCATTCTACTCTCTGGACTCATTCCTGGGTTCCTAGGACTCCCTGTTCCATCTCCACCTCAGGGAGTCTCCTGGGCTCCACCTGGCTTCCCCCTCAAGCCACAGCCCAGAAACTTTCTCCAGGCAGTAAGATGGAGCAGTTCAGTGGCTCACCTTGTGGGTTTGCATCTCCCATGGATCATTGTCCATTGCCTATGTCCAGTACCTTGAGCGGGTTGTTCATGTGTTTTGTGTAACTTTTTTTTTTAAAACTATTTAGAAGTTTATAATAAGTGTATAAATTTACTAGCTTTCACAATCATTGAAGAAATTCACTCTAGCAATAATAAATATATACAAGTACTTAAGCTGACACAAGATTTCAACATATAAAGCACATAAAAATTTCTTACCACTATTGTGCTTAGAATCCCTACCTATATTATAAACTGAATATAAAAATATTAACAATAAATACAATGGCATCTTTCTGATTTGATATGATAATACTTGCCAGGTTACTCGATCAACAACCACATAATTTCAGAGAGGCCAAAAACTGTCAGAATAGCTACTTGTCTCTTTGGCTTTTTAAAGGTCAAGGTTGAATCAGAGGCAAATAGAAAATAATGAATATGAGGTTAAAACTGTATTTTGGTACATACCACAGACACACCACACATACATACCACACATGAATACCCACACACACCCCACACGTATCATATTGTCTCCTGGATTGAATGGCCCATGCAATAAAGATGCACGTACACCATTAGGTAGATAGATATAGATGGGTAGATTGTCCTAGTTTCTCTTTTAGTAATTGAATTTTATTTTTTTAAATCAAAGCTATATATATGCATAGTTTCATAACTCAAGTAAAGGTAACACAACTTTATGAATAAGACTGCACTTCCACAACACCACAATGAAGCAACTATATCCCCCTCTCCTCATTTTTGGGTCTACTTTGAACAATTTCAACTGGGCCCATGTGTCAAAGGGGATGTAGGATCTAACCAACATATACTACCAGGAGCCATGGAACCTGGGTCCTGAGAGCTGGCTAAGATGCAGTTTGCATTCATGTAGGACTCCACTCTCCCATCATAATATGGTCTGAGGAGATCTAGACCATCTGAACATCCCACAGAATATCACGCTAACCTACTATATTTATAGCATCATATTAATTAGGTCAGATAAACAATAAGCTAGTGTGTTACACTCCAAAGATGGAAAATAATCACTAATACAGTCCAGCAACCTGTTACAATAGTGAAATTTTTAGGGCTGCTGGTCTGCTTGAATGCTAAGATATCTCCTTCACAGTAAAGAATAAGTTTTTGCATCTCTCCCACACATCAATACTCCTGGATGACAAGAAAGGCCAGAGGAAATGAACAGGTAGCACAGGCAGGTGGCCCAGACTCCTGTGTCATATTTATAACTCTTGCATCAGTGCCTTCCCTCAGCTCACAATTATGGCCACTTGAGAGGCTCTTCTGTCTTGCTGATGAAGGACAGAAATGCACAGCTAAGTTAATTGATAGGTTTTCTTGGAATATGGGTTCAAACAAAAAAATAGACTGCTGCTACCCTACAGCCCTCTTCAGAAGTGAGGGGAGTCCTCCCAAAAGGCAAAATTGGCAATATTTCTGGTTCTCCACTTTGTATGGAAAGAGAAGTGGCCTGAAGTAAGAATATACCTTTATGGCAAATGTCAGATAGGTTGACGAGTTGATCAGGGCCCTGGAGTGGGAAAGATTAGATCAGGGACAAGGAAGCCGGGAGAAGAGGCAGTGGAAAAATCTCTGGGATTGGAACATGAGTAAACATCTTTGTATTGCAGAACAGTGCCTACCAGAGACCTGCACCGTGCAAGAGGAACTGAACAAGTAAACAAAAAGACTTGGCCAGTTAATTTTAGCAGTTGTAGTCATGAGCTACCCCAATAGCATAATGGGCTCATGAATAAAGTCATGTTCAGGGATGTAGGTTATCAAGATGCCAACAGCATGGCCTCTACTCACCAAGGAGCCACTCCCTAGTATTCAGTACTGAGCCCTTGGAACAACACCATCCCTCAAGGAAAACAAACAGCTAATTGGTAGCAAGTGGATTACATTGGACTTTGGTCACAGAAGGGCAGTGATTCACTTTGACCAGAATCTTCCCATCTGCATGTATGAGTTTGCCTTTTCTGCCCACAAGATGTTGGCCAGCATCACTATCCAAGGGCTTACAAGTGTGTGATCCATCTGTATGTATCCTACGTAATATTGCCTCTGACCTAGGGATCTGATTTACAGCAAAGGTGTTTCAGTGGACACATGACCATGTGACTCACCAGTCCTATCACATCCTAGAAAATGCTGGCCTGGTAGAGTGGTGGAAAAACTTTTTGACACCAGACCAAAGCTTGGAGATAATGCCCAGTGAATGAGATGCCATCCATCAGGATGCAGTATACACTCTAAACACCTATTACATAGTCCATGTCCCATATAGATAGAAAATGCACAGCTAGGACTGAAAGGGTAGAAATAGGAGAATTCCTACTATGGTGGGCTACATAATGCCTCCCCCAAATATGTCCATGTTCTGTAAATATGTTATCTTACAAGGTAAAAGGGACTTTGCAGATGTGATTAAGAATCTCAAAATGGGGGGGGGGGGCGCCTGGGTGGCTCAGTCGTTAAGCGTCTGCCTTCAGCTCAGGTCATGATCCCAGGGTCCTGGGATCGAGCCCCGCATCGGGCCTCCCTGCTCTGCGGGAGGCCTGCTTCTCCCTCTCCCACTCCCCCTGCTTGTGTTCCCTCTCTCGCTGTCTCTCTCTCTGTCAAATAAATAAAATAAAATCTCTAAAAAAAAGAAAAAGAATCTCAAAATGGGGAAGGTATCCTGGATTATCCAGGTTGGCCCAATATAATCTCAGAGGTCCTTATGAGAGGGAGGTAATACAAGTAGGAGGAGGTGTGATGACTGAAGCAGGATGCAGTAATGTAAGGAAGGGGCCACAAGCCAAGGAATGCAGGCAGCCTCTGGAAACTGAGAAAGGCAGGGAAATGGATTCTGCCCCAGGATGCTTCAGGAGGAACAGAGTTGTTGACACCGTGATTGTAGACTTCTGACCTCCATAACTGAGAATAAATTTATGCGGTTTCAAGCCACTAAGTTTGTGGTTATTTGTTACAGCAGCAATAGGAAGGTAACACACCCACTTCCTGTCCCCACAGGCCCACCCACGGAGTTTGTGCCTCCCATCCCCACAACTTTGTGAGACTAGAGGGCTGGTTCCTAATTGGGGAACTGTTTCATCAGGAGATAAAGTAATAGACCCTTTAAGCTTTAACCTACTGAAGTTTCCCAGTCACATCAGGCTCCTTGTGCTTAAGAGACCAGCAGGCGAGGAGGAGTCCCCATTCTGGGTGGGGATAAGTGAATGGGATCATGAGGAGGAAGTAGGGTTATTGTCATGATTGTCACACAGGGAGGGCAGGAAGGCGTATATTTCATGCTTACTCCATCCACCAGGGCGTCTCTTGACACTTCCCTACCCAATGTCAAGAGTAAAATGAGCAACTTCCAAAACGATGGAATAAGGACCTCTGAAAACTGGCCTCTCCATAAAAGCAATAAGAACACTGGCAAAAATTGTCAAAATCAACATTTTTTTTTTTTTAGAACTCTAGAAACTAAAGGCTTGCCACAATCTGAAGAGCATTTATTTTAAAAACTGCTAAATCTTGATTAAAAAGGGCAGCTTCTGGCATTCTAACATGTCCTATTCCTGCCCCCCCATCTCTAATACAAGTTAAATTGTTCTTAACTGTAGGGAGAATGCTTCCAGGATCATTCACCCTTAAGTGATATGCAGCCTTTGTTAGACCCATTATATTGCTGTTTTTTTTTTATCCTGCACTGTAGTGACACTTTTATCATAAATCAGGTGACCGTATATGTGGGGCTGTTTCTAGACTACCTTGTTCCACAGTCCGTTTTTCTATCCAAGCACCAATACCATCCTGTTTAAATTACTCTATCTTTACAATAGGTCCTGATATCTGATACTGTATGTCCTTCAACTCTGTTCTTTAAGATTCCCTTATTCTTGACCTTTTGCATTTTCTTATGAATTTTAAAATCAGCTTGTCAATTTTTGGGAAAAAGAACCTGTTGAGATTTTTTGTTAGGCTTGCATTGAACATAGAGGGTAAAATTGAAATCTTTACAGTACTGAATCTTCCATCTTGAAGCTTTTATTCTACTCAGTTGGGTGCAGCTCCGAAATGAGAAGTGATTATTAGAAGCCTGGACTATAGGATCCCATCTAGGGGGAAGGGTCCTATCCTTCCCATCCGTCAGTGGGGTACTATATCCATCTTCTTTGGGCTCCCTGCCTCGGCAGATGTTTTTAACTTAGTGTTACTTGTACTCTGCCTCTCAGTAGTGTCTTGGCCCTCAGATTATTCTTGACCATCACTTAACATGATTAACATATTTGAACCTATCACCTATTTACATTCTAACATAAATTAAGTACTGTGAATATGATTATCACATAAAACGATCCAAACTAACAAACAATATCTTAACAGTACTCCTGAGCCAAACACAGAACCATTGCGAAGTGTTGTGTGTAGTGTTGTAAGGTTTCCAGTGAGTATTCTCCTAAAGTTTGTTCACCACACTAATTACTATTACATACTATATATCATACTAAGTACTTAAAATATATTGTTTTAATTTGTGTAACCTGCATGAAAAATTACTTGCAGAGGATCAGATAGGCTCTGGAATCAGAAAAATACCAGTTAGAATCCTGGCTCTGCCACTGTTACTGTCTATGTCTTTCAACAGGTTTGTTGAGATTAAACTGGATGATGCATGCTATGTATTTCATACTTTATCTGGCAATATTAACCATCTTTTTTTCTTTTTCCCAGGTGAGGATACTGATGATTAGAGAGTTTAAGTACTCTATCTAGAGACAAGAGGCAGAAGTGGGCAAGCACACTGCCAAGCACATAGTGCTCAATGTCTGTTACATGAATGAATGAACCAAAGTAGTCAATATATACTCAACATTGATTCCAAATGCCACTATAGTCTCGTTTCCTTAACTAAACAACAGACTTTTCCTATTCATTTGGCATTTACAAAACCAGAAGACTCAACTAGTAGCTGAATTTTGATGGACATATCTGAAATTTACCTTTTTTTTTTTTTAAAGATTTTGTCAGTGAGAGAGGGAACACAAGCAGGGAGAGTGGGAGAGGGAGAAGCAGGCTTCCCGCTGAGCAGGGAGCCCGATGCGGGGCTCAGTCCCAGGACCCTGGGATCATGACCTAAGCCAAAGGCAGATGCTTAACGACTGAGCCACCCAGGTGCCCCATCTGAAATTTACTTAAATGAGAAAAACAATAAAGTAATTTCAGGCCAGAAATTATTTTTTTAAGTAATTCCCAAGGTCTGAGAAAAAGTTATGGAACATATTTATCCCTTTTTGGGCTATCAGTGCCTACCCTTCCTGCCAGCATCCCCATCTTCCTTTTGAAGTAAATACATAATACACTGGTGGGGAGAGGTGGAGTGGGTGGTTCTAAGTACCTGTTTCCTACTGCCTTCTCCCTCTAAGGAAGCTGCGTGTATCTGCTCTCTGGTACAGCTAGGGGAAGATACATGGTCCAGTAAGCTCGACCAATTGCATATCACTCTTGAAATTTGAAAAATAATGAAAATAACCCTCTAATAAATTCCTTTTTTGCTTAAGATAGCCCAGAATCAGTTGCTGCTGTTTGGAACAAAGACTTGGCAAATGCAAAGATCAACAAAATGCAAACAAGTTTTTACACATCCTACTTCCAAAGGCTTTTTAGAATGACTAACAGGCACTCAGCCATTAAAGCCAAATGAACAGATTGTTATTTTTAAACACAGGCAATTTATGTATATTGAGTGTGTCTGCGTGAATACACACACCCTCCACACTGCTCTGAGTGGATTCAATATAAATACATACCTGAGTTGTGCAACGTTCAAGTCAACGTAGAAACCAAGCAAAGATTAAATTCACTATTAAATTGCAGCTATTTCTATGAAAGCATTTTTTTTTTCATTGTGGTGGGTTCTATGGAGGGATTATGCTTTTTAGGAACTTAGCTTCTGTTGAGAAGATGACTAACACAGACATTTCCTGATACAAAACTGAGAAAACCTCTTGCAAAGCTAAGCAAACATAGCTAGTAAGTTCCTTTTGTAAAAAAACTATTCCTCTGAGGGGTGCCTGGGTGGCTCAGTCGTTAAGCGTCTGCCTTGGGCTCAGGTCATGATCCCAGGGTCCTGGGGTCAAGCCCTGCATGGGGCTCCCTACTCCACGGGAAGCCTACTTCTCCCTCTCCCCCACCCCCTGCTTGTGTTCCCTCTCTCGCTGTGTCTCTGTCAAATAAATAAAATCTTTAAATTTAAAAAAATAAACTATTCCTCTGAGATGTCCCCCCATTGTTCCTGTGTTCCATTCATAGCATCTATTAAGGTATTGTAGTCCTCAACTTTTTGGTAGTACAGGATATTTTTTGGTGGTATAGGAAGGGCATCCCTTCATCTTTACTTGCAAGTGATTATTTCTCCTAACTTAACTGGACCCATAAAATGTACGCAGCAGGGACGCCTGGGTGGCTCAGTCAGTTAAGCGTCCAACCCTTGATTTTGGCTCAGGTCATGACATCAGGGTCGTGGGATCGAGCCCCGCATCAGGCCTCCATGCTGGGCATGTAGCCTGTTTAAGATTCTCTCTCTCCCTCTCCCTCTGCCCCTCTTTCTCTCTCTCCCTAAGAAACAAAACAAAACAAAAAAAACAAAACACGTAAGCAGGCAACTGGAGAAGCTCAGACATGATGAAACTGAACTTAGAATATAGACTTAAGGGATGCCAAATGTAAAGCAGAAGAGTGCATCCCTGGCGTAGGTAAAATCTACCGAAAGCTTGTTTTATTTTTTAAATTCCTAAGCTTTCTAAAAACCACCGCAGTAATACACATTTAGTTTTAAGATAGTATTTTAAAGTACTTTGCCGGGATCTTATTAAACTGTCGTTTTATAGATAGGGAAAGTAAGATCCAGAGTTTAAAGGGATGTACTTGAAGTCATGTAAGATAAGAATGACCATACCACCACTCCTGAGAGTTCTTGGCCCAAATGGGATTTAGTTTGAATTAGAAATTCTTATACTGATGGTTGGTTAAGCATTTGCATTCAGCTCCAGTTGGGGTCCCAGGGTCCTGAGATCAAGCCCCATCTCAGGCTCCCTGCTCAGTGGGGAGTCTTCTCCCTCACCCTGTGCGCCCCATTAACCCCTGCCCCCCACCCCGCTAGTACTCTATCGCTCCTGCTGTCAAATAAATAAAATCTTTAAAAAAATTCTATACTAGGGCACCTGGGTGGCTCAGTTGTTAAGCGTCTGCCTTCGGCTCAGGTCATAATCCCAGGGTCCTGGGATCGAGTCCCACATCGGGCTCCCTCCTTGGCGGGAAGCCTGCTCTCCCTCTCCCACTCCCGCTGCTTGTGTTCCTGCTCTTGCTATCTCTGTCTCTGTCAAATAAATAAAAAAATAAAATCTTAAAAAAAAAATTTCTATAGTAATAAAATTTGTGCATCAAATTAAGATGAGAAACCATTAAAACAATAAGGACTGAAGCATTTTTTCAAGATTTTTATTTACTATTTACTACATTCAACTTTTTGAATAAAAATTGGAGGGAAACCCATGAACTATTTTATTCTCCATTTTGCATGATCATACTATAATGGTACTCGCCTGCCTTCTCTACCACACTCCTTAAGATTAATCCTTGTAGACTCTTTTCTCTCTAACAGCTTGTCTCTTTTTTGCTTTAAATTGCAATCAAGGCGGAATAACAGGTGAGTTGAGAAGCTAATTTACATCTGTGAGGTTTTCTGTATAAACCTTAATAGTCCTCTCATCAAGTTTGCTTTCCTTTGGGAATTTTGTCAGAACCACAAGTTTATCCCCCAGATGTGCAATTTGGGAAAATTAACCTGGCAGAGGTAAACAGACTAGATTAGGAAAAGTGGTGATCATAATAATCATAATGAGGATATTGCAGTTAATCAGGCAAGCTACAGTAGGATCTTGGTTTAGGATAGTGGCAGTGACAATACAAAGAATAGAAAAGAGGTACAAGAGACTGAGGAAAGAAGGGATACAATGTGGTAGCAGACTGGCTGTGGGTGAGAAGAGGAAGGAATCAAAGATCCCTGAAGTTCTACGCTTCAGGTAGTCCTGGGTTCTAATCCCAAGTTTGACTCTTACTAGCCACTTAGTCCTGGGTTCTCATCCCAAGTTTGACTCTTACTAGCCACGGCCACATCAGCTTACTACTTATACACATATTTGTAAAGGTGTCTCCCTCTCCCTTACCAAGAAGAGGGCAACACTTAGACTCAATCACCCACAAACCTTACTAAAGGACACCTTATCTTCCATTAGTTTCCCCCATATGTTTACTTTACCACAAGTTAGCCATCCCTGAAAGCCTAAACCCCTTTTTCTTTTTGTCACTTCTCTACAAAATTTTTTTGTTGTTGTTCTTTGCTTTACTTTACTAACCCAGCCTTCTTAAGAGAGAGAAAACAGGAAGAAAAGAACCTGACTCATCTGGGCTCCTAGCCCAAACTGCTCTGCTATCCATTCGTATCAGGGATCTACATGGGTGATTATCCTCTATTAAAACTATTAGTTAAAAGCTAATTTCCATTTTACAAATGGAAATTTATGCCCTGCTTTTTAGACAAATGGTGGCAGCGAGGAGGGCAGGCAGGGATCTTAATTTTTTTTTTAAGCTTCTGCTGCTGTTTCTCAACTACCTTCCGCTCAAAATAATCCTTATGTCAAAGTGGCATATTTTGGGGTGGCATATTCTGATCCCCTACAAAAACTTAATTATGGCTTCTTCCCGGAGGAGGGAGGAAGGGATTTCCTGGATGCGCTTACCTCAAAGACTAGAAACAAAGAGGCCTGGGTTCTTGCCCTTAAATCACAGTGGCCCTTAACATTAGCAAAATGCGGCCGATGAGCGTCCTCAGTTCTGCCCAATCGGGTAGAAGGTAGGAAAGGTGATGTGCAAAGAGATGAGGGCGATGCTTTTCTTGGCAGCGACTACCACACCTAGCCCAGTGCCACGTAGTGCGGCCGCTGCAGAAAGCGCGCTTAGCGACGCTCCAGCAGGACCCCAGGCGGCCTCGCAGATATTTTCCCCGGAATGTTTGCCCTCTCCCAGATCCTGCCTCCGCGTGGAGTGGGGGTAGGTCTGGCGGGCGGCGTCCTTTGCTTTCCTCCTCCCAAGCAGCTCTGAACCACGTTTATGGGATGTTTAATGGACTATAATAAAACAGCTAATAATTCCCGCCCACGGAGGCAGGGAGTCCCTAGCCCAACCGACGCTGACATCGCCTCCTGTGAAGAAGCCACTCAGTCAAGAGAGCGCGGCTTCCGGAAAGCGCCTGCGCCATGCCGTCTGGCCAAAGCCGCGAAGGTGGGCGGAAACCATAGCAACACTGCGAGACGATTGCTACGCCGTGCGCGATGACGTTTGGGGAGCGCCCCCAGCGCCGGATTATGATGCAATCAGCGGCGCGGGCTCTGCGGTCTCGCGTGACCGCGGGCGCAGGCGCCTGGCCTCCAAACAGCAGCAACGGCGGAGGCAGGCGGGCGAGGTCAAGATGGTGGCTCCGCGGGCGGGGGAGGTGTTGGAGGGAGGAGGAGCCAGACCTTAGCCGACCGGAAACACCGACACCCAGAGGCCTCCCGGGAGTCGCCGCCGCTGCCTCCGCCGCCTGCTCCAGCTCGAGAGAGGCGAGCGGGCGGCGGGGCGGGCCGTAAGAGAGCAGAGGAGGGAGGGCGGGGGCGGAGTCGCCCGCCTTAGCCCCCGCCCCTGGCCGCGGCCCCGGGCCCTGCCCCGCGCGGCCCTGCCCGGCTCGCCCAGCCCCGGTGTGGCAGCGGCTCATGGCGGCGGTGGGGCCCCCGCAGCAGCAGGTGCGGATGGCCCATCAGCAGGTCTGGGCGGCGCTCGAGGTGGCGCTCCGGGTGCCCTGCCTCTACATCATCGACGCCATCTTCAACTCCTACTACGATTCCAGCCAAAGTCGGTTCTGCATCGGGCTCCAGATCTTCCTCCGGCTCCTTGGTAAGGGGAACGGGGTAGCTTGCGTCCCGGGATGGCTTTGAGGGCCGAAACGTGCTTTAGGGAGCGGGCACGGTGCGCAAGCTGTGGATAGTGTGTGTATGTGTGTTTGAGAACCAGTTTCTTCGCCAATAGGGGCGTCTTTGCAGGTTGGGAAGGGGGGAAGAGATGACACTTACCTCAGAGTTGACAGCGGAGCGGTCCTCCTAAAGAGTCAGCCCTCTTTCATTTTTGCACCCGAGGGTGGGGAGAAGGCATGGATGTGTGAGCATGCGGCTCTTTGCCTGCTGTTTCCCTTGGGGAATGAGTGCTGGCTTGCCGCGTCTTATGCGACAGCCTTAGAAAAATAGCAGCTGTTTGCCCCGGTCTCGCCGTGTGACCTTGGGCTTGGAGTGCCAAAGCCTGGGCCTCAGTTTCCCCCTTTCCAAAATGCAGAGTACTCGTATGTTGTCACTTCTGTATCCACGGAGTCCACATGATCGGGAAGTGTCTGCGGTAAATGACATCCAAAAGAAAGAGGGTTTTGAATGTCAGACCTTGAGACCATTACTAAAAGTGCTCATGAAGACGGCGATGCTTGTAACGAGTCCTAAAATTTTCCATGAATAGAGAGGTATTGAAAATGGCTATAAAAACGTGGCTAGAAAGTCATGAGACTTTTCCAGAAGAGACTTCTGAAAATCAGTGTCTTTGTTGTATATGAATGGAGTGTTAAAAATATCTTATGTTTCACTCCCCATCTTCACTTGCATTACCAGAGTGAGAAGCATTTATGCATAAAAGAATTTTTTAAAGTAATTGAAACTTGGCAAATTTTGTTGATGAGGTAATTCTTAGTAGGCTTGTGATTTTTGAAGTTTGCTGAGGAAGAGTTGATGATGAGATCCTTAACCAAGCCTTTCTGAATTAGGAGCCATCTGTTGCTTCTTTATCTCCCGCCCGCCCCACCCCCACCCCCCCGCCAAAATGTTGAGTTTTGTTATTAGCAATAAATAATATTTTGTTTGGTACTTTACTTTTGTAAAGCATAAACGTCCCTCAGAGGTGGATTGTGTCATTCTCATTTTTTTAAATGAGGAAACTGAGGGGCATAGAGGTTTAGTGTGTTTTGCTTTTGATATACAGCAATTAAGTGGTTGTCAGAGCCTAGGCTTAAAAATCTTCTGACATCAAGTGTGGTTCACTTTCAGCTGCTATCCAGATACAGAATGATATAGTAATGATCATATGCTAGATCTTTAACAGATGTGAAAGTGATGTTCTTTAGCACAAGATTTCTCAGTAACGCACAAGCTATTTAATTCCAGTCATTCCTACTTATCCCTGCAAAAGTGTAATGCCCTCATTATTTGTGGCAAAAGTGGAGCTGTATGATTTCACAGCCTATACAAATATGGAATCATCATGTTCTACATAATGTTATGTGTCAGTTATACCTCAGCTTAAAAAGAAAGCATTCACTAGTTTTAATCTTTCATACTTAACGTATTTTGCTTAATTCTGGTAGTCATGGGTAAAAGTGATTTCAGTTAAATAACGTTAAAGTAAAATTAATAAGGGGGACCTGTTGGGAAGGCATTTTATTTCTGCCAGTTAGAAACCACTCATCATGATCATAAATTAACAGGCAGTTCCTTATCTCAGTGTAGTTGCTTAGGGGTTCCAGCTGAGCCTGATGAACTGCCAGCCCTCTTTCCCCGCCATACCTATCCACATTTGTTCATGATATATGCATGCAGGCAAGATCTATGCCAATTCTTGGTATGGAGAGAAATGGAGAAAAATTATCATTTCTATTCCTTAACTCCAGAGGATGGGAGAGAGCTTGCTAGAGAGAGAACAGAAGCTAACAGACTTGTAGGGAACTTTATCAATTTTGGGATAACCAAGTGCTGCTTTGGAAACTAACCGAATATAATATAGACAAAGGGGATGGGGGGATGACTTTCCTTGCTTCTGTTTTGAGAGGAAGTCATGATGGAGCAAAAAAAAAAAAAAAAGGTAAAAAAAAAACCCAAAAAACAAAACAGCTGTGTTTGAGAGGATTCATGTATTCATTGGCAAATAGTGTAGCCACTGCCTTGAATGTTCTTTTGGCCTGTGACTACATATCCTCTGACAATCCCTTTGTGACCAGGTGCTTTAATGCAGTACTCTCAGAGTTGAGCGCTAGGCTCAGGAGCTTTAAGGAAAAGGGAGTATGTTCCTTAATTAAATCATTTGTAGTTTAAGAACACTTAAGGACTTCGGTATTTTCCTTGTAATTCATGCTGATTTTGGTAGTAAATCATGGAAGTTTGTATTCGACAAGTTAAAGTAGAATGTGACCTCAGGCGAGTAACTTAACTGCTCTGTACCTCTCTTTGCTTACCTTTACATTTTTAAAGTTGGGCAATAATGGTCTGTCATAAGGTGTTAAGGATAATAAATGAGTTAGGATGTTCTCAGAATAGTACCTGGTCCTAGTATAGGCTACTAAGTGTTAGCTCTTAATAAGCTTGATAACTAAAAAAATAGTTCTACACTTCAATTAAGACAGTACAGATATTTTGGTCTTTAGAAGGCATCAGCATAATTTTGGTGCTTTGTTCCCAGAATTTTTGTTCACACTTTGTGAGAAATACAAAATATTTTCCAGATCTCTTACCTGGACTGCTCCTTACATTATGCCAGTGTAGTTTGCCAAATTTTCACATTTGTGAGAATGGTAAAATTCTTTTTTTTTCTTAAGATTGATTCATTTATTTTAGAGAGGGAGCACAAGTGGGAGAGGGAGAGAATCCCAAGTAGACTCCCCACTGAGTGCGGAGCCTGACAGTGGGGCTCGATCTCACGACCCTGAGAGCTTGACCTGAGCTGAAGCCAAGAATCAGACGCTTAACAGACTACACCACCCAGGTGCCCCGAGAATGATAAAATTATTAAAAACTGGTTTTGTTGCTAAAAATTCACCCTGAATAAAAACAAATGTCTTTGGGGCGCCTGGGTGGCTCAGTCGTTAAGCGTCTGCCTTCAGCTCAGGTCATGATCCCAGGGTCCTGGGATCGAGCCCCGCATCGGGCTCCCTGCTCGGCGGGAAGCCTGCTTCTCCCTCTCCCACTCCCCCTGCTTGTGTTCCCTCTCTCGCTGTGTTTCTCTCTGTCAAATAAATAAATAAAATCTTTAAAAAAAAACAAAAACCAAATGTCTTCAATATTTGAGGCCCATTCAGTGAGGCAGCTCTTGTTATTGAAAGTGACAGGTTTGTGTGTAAAAGATACCAAAGGATAGTTGAAATTAATTGTTCTACACCTGGTTATTTTTTTTTTAATAATTGTAGACCTCTCAGTATTATTATATCTAAATCTCAAAACTTGTCGGTCTCACTTTTTTCTTTAAAATGAAATTGTAAAAATGGAAATCTATTCTCTAAAAAGCATTACCAATTTTGTATCTCATCTCTAAAGAATTAACTCCACTCCCCCTACAGAAAAGTACTATCACTGCACTTTTGGTATCAAACTCATATGAGAATTTCAGCAGATCAGAATATAAAGCATCTCATTTTAGAGATCCAAATAAAATCAAATCACAATATACAGAGTATTTAAGAATATTAAGCTATTCTTAGGAGGTGTTAAATGCTAAATGAAACGCAACCCAGTGCAGCATAATGCTGAATTAACAAATCTAAATCCAAGGCAGAAAATACAAGCATAGGAGTTTGTTTTAATAGTATTACTCATGTAATGATAATTCATTGAAGTGGAAAGGCCTTTCTAAACACACAAAACCCCAAAATTACAAGGGAAAATTCGATAAATCTGAATATATAAAAATGAAAAACTTTCTTACGACAAAACTTTTTTTTTTTTAGCTCTTAAAAATGACAAACTGAGGATACTATTCGCATTGTATGAAATTGAATAAAAGTTTTACTCTCATTAGGAAAAATTTACACTCCCAGAGAAAAATGGGTCCAGGATAAGCAGTTCCCAATAAATGAAATGCAGATGGTCAGTATGCAAAAGAAAAATAACTCAGCCTCATTTATAATGAAAGAAATGCCGTCAGAACAGAATTTCAGTTATCAGATTGGTGAAGAGTTCAACATTCAAATAAAAACTAGTTTGTCAAAGGTGTGGGGAAATGAGTAAAGTTACACATTTTGGTTGCTGTCACTTGTGTAAAGGCTTTTGACACTAGCTACTGAAATTCATCATACACCTTTTGACTCACAATTCTAAGAATTTGACCTAGAGACATAGTTGTACTTGTTCAAAGACTATGGGAAAGGATTTTCATTGCAGCATTGTTGGTAATAACAAAATAGTTAATCTAAATATCTATTAAAAGGGAATCTGTTCTTTTATTAGGCTTAGACATACAATAATTTTTTTTAAAAGAATGAGAGTTATTTTTGGTGCTTTAGAAAGAACTCAGAAAACCTTTGAAGTGAGAAAACATTGAAGCAGTAGTAATTTTGAAACGATAGGGACAGGTTAGGAATTCTCAGCAACACTATTGATATTTTGGACTGGGTAATTCTTGGGGAGGTGGAGGGTGCTGTTCTGTGAATTGCAGGATTTTTAGCAGTGTCCTTGTCTTCTACCCATTGCATATCCATTAGCACCCTTCTTCCCCCTTTTGTGATTGCTAAAAATGTCTCGATATTTAGAAATTACCAAATGCTTGGTGTGGGGGTAGGGAGGTGGGGTTGGTGCAAAATCTGATCCTTGTTAAGAATCACTGAGATCGACAATAGACCAATAGCACAGAATAGAAAGCCCAGAAACAGTGCATCCATGTATATAGAGAAACTTGATGTGTTTCAGAATTAGAATTGAAGTATATACATGGAGGTAAATATAGACTATTCAGGTAATGGTCATTTAGTTGTATGGAAAATATACTGGATCCCTAACTACCAATATATAAACAGTTCTAAGTGGCTTAATACATAAATGTGAAAAGCAGAACTTTAAAATTTTTAGAAGAAAATATAGGAGAATATAGAGGTTTTTGTTTTTTAGAGTAAGGGAGAAATTCTTTAAAAATATATGAAAGTTGGGATGCCTGGGTAGCTCATTCAGTTAAGCATCTTCCTTCAGCTCAGGTCATGATCCCTGGGTCCTGGGATGGAGTCCTGCATCAGGCTCCTTGCTCAGCAGGGAGCCTGCTTCTCCCTCTGCCTGCCCCTCCCCCTGCTTGTGCGATCTCCTGCTCTCTCTCTGACAAATACATTTTAAAAATATATGAAAGTCAGGGCGCCTGGGTGGCTCAGTCTGTTAAGCCTCTGACTCTTGATTTTGGTTCAGGTCATGATCTCCGGGTTCTGAGATTGAGCCCTGCATCAGGCTCAGTGCTGGGTGTGGAGTCTCCTTAAGAGTCTCTCTCTCCCTTTCCCACTGCCCCTCTACCCCTCAAAAAAGAGCACATACACACACATATACATATATTTGAAAGTAAATTTATAAATAAAGATTGATAAATCCAACAACATTAAAATTAAAAACCTAAAAAATCAAAAATGTGAAAAGACCAGCCACATACCTGGAGAAGATACTTGCAGTCCAGGTAACTGACAAAGAATTTGTAGTCAGATTATTTTTAAGTGTCGGCAACTCAAGAAGGAAAAACAACTCCATAGATGAATGGACAAAAGATAAATTGGGAATTCAGAGGAAGAAACATGAATGGTCAATAAATTGGAAGATGCCTTCTTTGATAAGTAATCAGAAATGCATTTTTTTTAAAAGGTAAAAAAATCTCCACGTTTACAATGAGATCCCCTTTGGGTAAAAAGCAAAAAAGAATGTGTTTATGAATATATTTATGAAAAACTTTATTCTTCCTCTAATACCTATAAGGTTTGTTTTAAAAAATTATATTCAGATTTCTTTTTAATGAAAACATGTTAAAAATCGTAGAAGCAAAAACTTAGTGTTCTGATTAACAAAAGAGAATACCCTTTTTAACCCAAAATGAGAGTTTGATAGCAAAATTTTCTTTATGCTCTGGTTTATCAAGTATACCTATAGATTAACATTTCAAGATATTTTATTTACTTTGTCTACATTTCATTGCTGAGGGCTCCCTTTGGATTAAGGTAATCATAACATTTCTGTGCTGTTCCATCTTTACTCTGTTAGGCATTTAAATGTTTTTCCACAGTTTTCTTTAGATCATGTTTAAAAGGTACTTAAAGATACCTGGAGAGTTATAAATGTAATGTCTTATTTCCTTCTAATTTTTAGTCCTAAGTTTCCAGACAAGGTTAAAGAAGGTATGAATGTGTTTTACACATAAAGGGGTTAAATGCTTTGTTGTACACTGTGCCTGGGTAGTGTTTGTTTTGTTTGCTTGTTTCTGATAGTCAGATTGCAAAGGTCCTTCCTGAACTCTCTCCTGAATTGAGTTCTGTATATCTTCAGAGCTCCTGAATTGATTTTGCTCCTTGCCTGTTTTCCTACCCTGAAGACTTCAGTAAAACTCTAATCACTGGAGAACTGGATCCCTGAGATGTGCTTTCAGTTACTCCTATTCTCCAGTGCCCCATGGTGATTTTTCTTCATAAAGTAGCATTTATATATAGTCTTGATTGCTTCTTCGGATCACTCTTAAATCCTAGTGAGAAACTCTACCTCTGGGCTTAATTCTCTTAGGCCTCTAGGATAAATACCAAGAGTTTTATATCTGAAGTTGTGAAAAGGCAACAAACTTTGATGCTATTGGCAATACTCCCTAAAGTATTGGAGGAGTGTTACTGGAGAGACTTGTTACTTGGCAAGTTGGCTTTTTCTGTGAAATGAGAGCTGATTTTTCCTACATTCCATTAATAGGAACATGATATAAAAGAAAAATGTAAGCACCTTACATACATGCAACTTTTGGGTAGGAATTAAAATAACTTGATACTATTCTTGAAATGTTTCATCATTATGTCTTGGGGTATAATTTTAATCAAGAGTGGTATTTTTTATTTATTTTTTTTAATTGAGACAGAGAGAGAGGGCATGAGCAGGGGGAGAGGCAGAAGCAAACTCCCTGCTGAGCAGGGTACCCTATGTGGGGCTCAGTCCCAGGACCTGGAGATCATGACCTGAGCTGAAGGCAGAAGCTTAACCATCTGAGCCACCCAGTGCCCCAAGAAGAGTGGTATCTTACTGTTACTTGCTAGGATACATCCAGACTTTGAGTATAGTCTCACTACATTGTCTATCATCTCTTCCCCTTTTTTCCCTTTGATACATTTGCATGAAGCAAAATACACTTTTTCTACAGAAATATTTCTAAAAATCAAATCATTCCTTCATTTGTGTGTAAAAATAAGCTTCAAGGAAAACTATTAGAATAAAAAGGACTGGTTTATAAATTACAGCAGAGTTCATGAATATTCACAGGTAAAGATTAATTTACCCCTTTGTGAATAGCAAGTTGACAAAAATACTTTACAGTCCCTGTTTGGCTTTCCCCTTATACGTGGCATAAAATAGAACTGAAGTTATTTGGGTGTTGTTTTGACTTGTTTTAGGAGATTAAGTTTTGTCTCAGGAAAAATACTGACTTTTGTTTTTCTATGTAGAGAAAGCAAGATTACATATAGTGGCTTCCATTTCCTGTTACCTTATGTGAAAATGTTTCTAAACCTCCAAAAAAAGTTATTTTCTATTGAAAGGGCCTATTCACAGCTGTCAACTCTTTGGGAGATTATTAGTGGCCCATTTGTTCCAGGAATCAGATGGTTCTTATGCAGAGACTCATGTGTCTTTCAGGTGATTGTGTCCTTTTGTTCTCCTTTTCACAAATGACCTGACAGGTTGGCACAGGATGAATTTTAAGTTCATGGGGAAAGTCATCATTTAGAAGAACTAGCCCTTGCTTGTATATGCAATAGATTGTAAAATGCCTCCATTGTAATATGCGGTGTCTTTCCTTGATTACGTGCTGAAATAAGGTGGACAGATGGTGTTTAATTTGGGGTTTGCCATTTTTGCTGTACTCCAAGCTCTGGTTTCTCAGCTTTGTCTTAGCTTTTCATAGGTTTCAGTTTCCATGTGGGAATTCTTGGAATCCAGAATTCTACGTTAACATTTCCCCAGTTATGTCAATAAACAGTGAAATAATTTATTTTCTGCAGAATATTTTGGGATTCATAATGTGCAAGGTAGAATCCTTGCTTGCTATCACAAGGATACATTATATAACAGGGTAGATGACCTCCTCAGATAATTACAAACCTACAATATCAGGTAGTGTATGAGTATTGGGCATTTCACTGAGTTCTGTTGGTAATTTCAAAGATCAGTAACTATCAGAGAAAATTGGTCTGTTGGATGGGTAGGATTTGAACAGTCAGGGATTTGGGAAGCTCACCGTACCAGGCAAAGAGAAGAATGTAAACACAGCTGCGGTTATGGCAGAGAAAGGGGTGTGTTGGAGAAAGTCTGGAGTGGTGGGGTGTGTGTTGGAAGGAATACCACATTGAATCCTTGAGTGAGTGGACAAGGAATGTAGATTTTTGTTGATAGTAATTTCAAGGGCTGCTGCTTTTGAGCAAAGAAATGCAGAAAGGCACTTTGTGGCTAGATGGGATTGTAGATAGATTTGGACAAGCGTTTTTAGAGACCGGCTAACAGGTTGGTGTCACTGAGAAAAGGGGGAAAGTAACAGGTGTTAGTAGAATTGGCAAATAACTGTCAAAGTTTTAGGGTTCGGGGCTGGAGGTGCCATTAAGAGAATAATGTTACCTTTAACTGAAACTGGAAATCTCAAGAGTTATTTGAAGTCAGTTAGGTTTTAGAAATCTTGAGTATTGCACTTGTAACGTAGAAGTGGAATCAGGTGTATATTTGGATATCCTTTCCATATTGAAACCTTGGGCAATAATGTTTATTGTGATCTCACAAAATTTGTCAGAGCACAAAGAAAGATGATGCTGGATGCACATCACACACATCACACTGTACTTTGTTACATATGGAGTGTGGGGGGGTACTTATTCCATTTTTTTAAAACATGCTTTGGTTTTCTGAATGTTTTTGTAATTTGAAGAATAAAAAGGGTTGACTGTAGTAAGAGATAGAGTAATGTACAGGAAAAAGAACTTGGATGATGTTTCTGAAATCTGTAGGAAAGTATGTAGAGAGGGGAAAACAAACAAAAAACCCTGTATTTGGACCCAAGGGGGAATGCACACATTTAAGGAGCAGGAAAAATAAAAGCCAGCAGGAGTTCACTGAGAAGAAGGCGGCATTAGGTACAAGTATAAAAGTTAAACTTGATTTCCTAAAGAACACTTTTAAGAAAAAGAAATCTAAGATTTAACAGGAACAAATATTTGCATTTTGGTTATTTTTAGTGGTTATGAAATTATAAAGGACATGTTCTTTCAAGATTTAAAAACTTGTTAAAATGTAGGTATCACTAATAACTAATCTTGAAGATCATTTAGTAATTTGGTGTCTGGATATGTAGTACTACTTGAATTTGGAACTTAAAAGATAAGGAATAATATTTTAAAAAATAGTATGATTGATCTGTTGAACTCTGACTTTACAAAACTTTTCATGGCCCTTAAGCCTAAACTGTCTTGAGACTTAATGTTCATAACTTTGAAAATATTGTATTTCCTAATTAAGGGAAGAAGGGCATAACTGTTAGTACAAAAACATTCTTGAAAATGTTGGTTAAGTGTCTGCCTTCCGGTCAGGTCATGATCTCAGGGTCCTGGGATTGCGCCCCGCATGAGGCTCCCTGCTTAGCTGGGGTCTGCTTCTCCCTCTCCCTCTACCCCTTTCCCCGCTTGTGCTCGCACGGGCATTCTCGGGCATTCTCTCTCTCTCAAATAAATAAAATCTTTTAAAAAATGTTGCACTCAAATGACCTTTCTTTCCTTCTTCTTTTTTTTTTTTTTTTTTAGGTATATTTGTATCCAGTATTGTTCTGATCTTGTCACAACGATCACTTTTCAAGTTTTACATGTACAGTTCAGCCTTTCTGTTAGCTGCAACTTCAGTGTTGGTAAATTATTATGCTTCTTTACACATTGACTTCTATGGTGCCTACAACACATCAGCTTTCGGAATTGAGCTGCTTCCTCGAAAAGGGCCCTCGCTGTGGATGGCACTCATCGTTCTACAGCTAACCTTAGGAATTGGATACATTACACTATTACAAATTCATTCCATCTATTCACAATTAATTATTTTGGATCTCTTGGTTCCTGTAATAGGCTTAATCACAGAGCTCCCGTTGCACATCCGAGAGACTTTAGTTTTTACTTCTTCCTTGATTCTCACATTAAACACAGTGCTTGTCTTGGCAGTGAAGCTTAAGTGGTTTTATTATTCTACACGGTATGTTTATCTTTTAGTGAGGCACATGTATAGAATTTATGGATTACAGTTATTAATGGAGGACACATGGAAGAGGATTCGTTTCCCAGATATACTGAGAGTCTTTTGGCTAACAAGAATTACAGCTCAGGCTACAGTGTTGATGTACATTTTAAGGATGGCAAATGAAACGGATTCCTTCTTTATTTCTTGGGATGACTTCTGGGACCTCATTTGCAATCTTATAATTAGTGGATGTGATTCTACACTAACTGTACTGGGCATGAGTGCTGTAATTTCCTCAATAGCCCATTATTTGGGCCTTGGAATATTGGCCTTTATTGGATCAACCGAAGAAGATGACAGGCGGCTTGGCTTCGTAGCACCTGTTTTATTTTTTATTTTGGCTCTTCAGACTGGTTTAAGTGGGCTAAGACCAGAAGAGAGACTTATTCGCTTAAGTAGAAACATGTGCCTTTTACTAACTGCAGTCCTGCATTTCATCCACGGAATGACAGACCCTGTATTAATGTCTCTCAGTGCCTCTCATGTGTCATCTTTCCGTAGACATTTTCCTGTGCTCTTTGTCTCTGCTTGCCTGTTTGTTCTTCCTGTTTTACTCAGTTACATTCTTTGGCATCACTATGCACTAAATACATGGTTGTTCGCAGTTACAGCCTTTTGTGTGGAACTCTGCTTAAAAGTAATTGTTTCTCTCACTGTGTATACGTTATTCATGATTGATGGCTACTATAATGTCCTTTGGGAAAAGCTTGATGATTATGTCTACTATGTTCGTTCAACAGGCAATATTATTGAATTTATATTTGGAGTAGTAATGTTTGGAAATGGGGCTTACACTATGATGTTTGAGTCAGGAAGTAAAATTCGGGCTTGTATGATGTGTCTACATGCATATTTTAACATCTACTTACAAGCAAAAAATGGCTGGAAGACATTCATGAACCGTAGGACTGCTGTTAAGAAAATTAATTCACTTCCTGAAATAAAAGGGAGCCGCTTACAAGAAATAGATGATGTATGTGCAATCTGCTATCATGAGTTTACAACATCTGCTCGCATCACACCATGTAATCATTATTTCCATGCACTTTGCCTTCGGAAATGGCTGTACATCCAAGATACTTGTCCAATGTGCCATCAGAAAGTGTACATCGAAGACGATATTAAGGATAATGCAAATATATCTAACAACAATGGATTTATTGCACCCAATGAAAATCCAGAGGAAGCTGTAAGAGAAGCTGCTGCTGAATCTGACAGGGAATTGAACGAAGATGACAGTACAGATTGTGATGATGATGTTCAAAGAGAAAGAAATGGAGTGATTCAGCACACAGGCCCAGCAGCTGAAGAACTTAATGATGATACTGATTAAAATAGCATTTACTAATCATTGAGGTTATTTGTTTAAAATTCAGTTCATCCAAAATGGAGTAATATGCTTCACTTCAGTGTGTAACCAAGCACAAAAACAGTATCCATGTTGAATCTGTGAATGGTTTTCCGTTTACTGTGATGTGCTACTGTAAATATACCTCTTTAATTACTTCTGGTCTCTTTGGTGACCTATTTAAATTTGTGTACATTATTGTACATAGAATAAAATGTTTTCACGTTTTTATGACAAAATTTGAACAAACAGCTTTTTAATAGATGTAATGATACAATACAGTGCGTCAACTGTGCCAAAGATTCCTCAATGAAAGCATATAAAAGTATCTAACTCTGGACCCTAGTTTTTCTTTAAAATGGGTGGGAAAATGCAAATGCAAATCAGAGGAAACCACATTAAGTCAAGGAAATAATTTGGACCAGAGGATAAAAGCTACATGTAGAGTATTTTAAAATGAAGGAGAACATAGGCTGCCAGAAGAGACTTTTTTGAAATCTGAGTGTAGCACGTGGCTGAGCTGGGTTCAAAAGTCATGATTCAGAGACTGTGTAAGAGTTGAGAAACAGGCTTTTATCAACTAAACTTTGGTATAAAAACCAGAATGTGCTAATTGTTTAATTTTGATGTAAATAAAACCAGTATATTTGTTGGCCATTCTGTTTGCAGCGTTAACATAAAATTGTCCTTTTCAGACTTTTGAAGCAATTACAAAATATTTGGGAGTTTTCATTGTTGTAAACTAAGACCTTAATTGATACTAAAATTCTGTTCTGACTTGATGGTATGGTATGTAGTAATACGGAATAACTCTTTAGACAACTTCCAGAGAATTCCTTTATTCAATCTTTCAGTAAGTTTTACCATGAAATTTTACATAAATGATGGGAAATGGAAAGAACATACCATCAGGAAAAAAATATTTTAATGGTGTTGTTATATAGTGTATTGGCTAATTCCAATGGATCCTGCTCTCTCACTGCTGACATTATCTCCAGTATTTGACTAAAAGAAAACAAAACAAAATGGTTAAATTTCCAGGTATATGCTCAGTTTTAAAGGAAACTACTGTACTAGCACTCTTAACATAATAAGCTTAACAGGTATAAGGTTTTCAGCACCATCAACAGAAAAGTTTAACTGTTACGATATTTAAGAGTAATTTGAGACAAATTTCTGGGGCAGTCTCGCATATAACCAGAGCCAAGGTCCAGGTTCAAATAAATTCGAAAACCAGCCCACATTATGTCAACCACAACTAATGGAACTGACCCAGTGAAAATGAAGAGTTCCTTTAAACTGTGGTCATTATGCATTCATTAGTGGGTCATGATGACCTTTCAAAAAATAGTAAGAAAAGGAAAAGTACATCACACTTAGGGAAGTACTGTTTCATTTCTGTTTGGGTCTTATATATGTACATGTGTGCTGAGTCCCAAGGTATTGTGGCATTGTGGGTATAGCAAAGCTTGAAAGCCACTGCTAAGAGACTTAGTCCCAGAAGCAGCAAGAATTTGGTGCATCACGACCAGCACAATGTCAGCAAAGGAAGTTAGAAGTTATTTACTTGGAACAATGTATGGTTATTGGGGTGAGGGGAGGAGAGATGGCTTCTCTTCCTGTACTTAACTCCCTGCAAGAGCGAGACTAGCCCAGGTGTCCTTTCAGTTTCTGTGCCTAGAATAATAATCAGTAGTACTGTTCTCTAGCTATACTATATATAGATGTTTTTATACATGAATTAGAAAGTTCTAAAGTCCAAATTAAACATTTAAATATTCGTTAAGATTTTTGTCCCTGGTATGGGTTTCTTAAATATGAACACCTAAAGGAATTAGAGATTAACTGGGAATTTTTTAATTATATAATTGTAACGCAACAGCCACACTTAATATAGACTAAATTTTTATCTGAATAAGTCAAAATGTGCTAAAAGCAAATATATTAGCATTTAAATTGACAGTAAAGACCCAATTTTCTTAGTAAACTACAGAATTTTCCTCTTACCTACTCAGTTGGAACTTACCTGCATAATACTGTGTGAAATCAGTATGATTCCTGCCACCCATCTCCCTTTCAGTCCTTTCTCTATGCTGATACGCTACAGCTTTTTAAAAAAAAACAACAAAAAAACCACAAAAAAACACTGCCCCTTTCCTGCTTAAAATCCTTTGGGTCCTGATGAAATCTGAACTACTAAGGTTGACATACAAGAGCCCTCACCAATCTGGTCTCACTGTACCTTCCTAGGCTTATCACTTACCCGTGCATCCTACTTTTTGCCACACTAAACTCACTGTTTTCCCCAGAGCAGCCAACCCTTCTGCAGTCTGCCTTTGCTTGAGGTGTTAGTCTTGGTCTGGCACAACACCCAGTTGCACCCCGTGAACAGCTGAAGTGTCACCTTAGTTGAGCTATTTCTCCTCAAGGAAGGCAGTTGCTATGTCCTAGGGTCCTCATCATATATTTTTATACCTCTGTAACAGCACTCACATCTTGGATTATACTTTCTGCGTATTTGCTCCAGGAGGGTTAAGGATCCCTGTCTGATTCCTTCAATGTCTATCCAAAGTGCCTGGCAGAATGTACCTAGTCATCTGGTGGACAGATGCAGGGCAGGGACTGTCCTGATTCTTCTAGGTAGCCTCGGTAACCTTGTGCCTTTCCTGACATGCAGGAGCTTCAAGATGTGTTTCAGGGAATTTAAAATCTAAAAGGGAGGAAAGATCTCTCTAAAAATAATTAAAACATAAAACTGTTAATAGATGGGTTTGATAAAAATGACTTTGTAAGTAGGAATTAATTAGTAATTAGCATTAGACTAGAGGCATGTGTGTTTTTGAAATGTGGTTTAAAAACTTTCAGTTTGTAAATGCTGGCTTTCCCAAGCTCTGCCTCCTCAACTGGTATTCATGATGGCAGATGATACTCAAGCTTTCTTGGTTCTTAACAGTCTGCATTTGGAAGACCTTAGAATTTTGTTTTGCAAATGTGTCTCTAAAGTCAACAGCTATATTGTACTTAACATTAAGGCAGTATATAAAATCTGACGTGGATACACTGTTGGCAAATACTTCCCCTGAGCTGGCTACTAGAAAAATACCAGTTTCTTGTCTCTAGTGTCCTATTAAATCTCTATAAAGAATGATTCAGTAATAATTGTCTTCTGTCTTCTGACTGAATTTGCAACTACCTACATTTCATAAAAGTTACAAGTGATTCTTTACCAATCAGAATTTAAAAACATTCCTCAGCCTATGGGTTTTAAAACATTCGGTTTTAAAATCTTTGCCAACACCAGCATGTTAATAAAGGAAAATCTTTCCAGTATAATTTTTATAGAATAAATCTGCAGTTCTCTGCCACTGAATTTTAGATCTGGCTTACCTAATACTCTTATCTGTTAAAAACTAAAGTACATATGGAAGGAATTACTACAACCTAAAAGTAACAGCTCAGTTGCCTGAACTGGTAAACCATACTAGACTGATATAATCTCTATTTAAATTATCTGCTTATGCAAACAAAAACTGGATGATGTGCCCATTAACATGATACAAACTTATCCTGTAAGTTATAAGCTCTGTAGCTCCTTAACAGTTGGATGGTAAACAGCCCCTCTTTTCACATGCTATGTATTATAATAAAAAACGATGCTGAATTACTGCTTGGTCCCCCTCCCCCAGCTTTTGGGTTAGAAAAAGGAAATCCTTTCTATAACTTGACCTTTTTGTTCAGAGGCCTCAAGAAATGTGTTACTACTTAGGTTTATTCAGGTTGTCAAATAATTTAAAATACACAAAAAGGTCTCCTGCTAAGAGTGTATTTTTAAAACCATCAGCAAGGAGGCTGCATGAGAATCTTTTTTCCCCTTTCCTACAAAATGACAAATGACCAAAATCACATGAAGTTTTCACTCCTGTAATTAAACCACTTTTAATGAGTTGAGAGGTTGAGATGATAGGAAAAGAGGAGCCCAGATAGAGCAGTTCAGGTGCAGAGCCTTCCAAATCACTGCATTAAAATGGTAGCTTTTGATGTGAACTTCATTTGGATGTCACCCAACTTTAATTCGGTCCCTTGAGTTCATTTTGGAAATGGCATTTGGTGTTGACTTTAATGTTCTGAAGACCATGAAAACAAAATACTTACATTATATGGCAGGGCTCATTCCTGTCTTTTACGCAGTGCCCATTTTCCCACTTCTTTTTGGTAGGAAATGAAGTTTTTATGTATTTTGATCCAGCATGTGTACTTTTCACTCCACACCAAGGTGCGTCTAGAGTTAAGCAAAGATAGAAGTCTCTTACGAGGTTTATCTTTGAAATCATTGTTTTCTTAACATTATCAAACAAATGCATAACTTCTAAAATATAAGTCATGATTCAGCTTTAAAAATGGTAAAACAATTCTAAGCACAAGATTAAACCTTGAACTGTACAAATTTTTAAATGCCTTTTTAAAAAATTTTTTAAGTGCTTTTTAAGACTCCCTTTCATTACGTTTTTTTCTGCTAACATTACTGTTGGTGTATGGCATACTTTAAAAAAAAGAAAGCTAAAAGAAATACAAATTGTAACCTGAAAACATTTAAGTTAAGCCTCTATTTGCCTCTACTGAATGTGAAACAGTGGCTTTAAATACCGGGATTGGGGCACCGGGGTGGCTCAGTTGGTTAAGCGTCTGCCTTCAGCTCAGGTCATGATCCTGGGGTCTTGGGATCCAGCCCCACATCAGGCTCCCTGCTCAGCAGGGGGGTCTGCTTCTCCCTCTCCCTCTGCCCCTCCTCTCCGCTTGTGTTTTCTCTCAACTAAATCTTTTTTTAAAAAAAAATACTGGGATTATTCACTTACCTCTTTAATAAAGAATTATAAGAATTCACACATTTTACAAGCATTGTACTTTTAATATCATTTCATTTTCATGACTCTCCAAGAAAATAAACCTGATTTCTTCAGAATGGCTTAGTCTTGACTTTCCTAAAAAAGCCCTTATGTGTAAGTAAAGCCTTGAGTTCAGGGTTAGGTAAAATGTTTAGCTTCTAAGCTTACTTATAAGAGGCAACAGATTAATTTCTAAAATTCCTTGACTAAACCAGTTTGATTTAAATTCTTGTACTTTATTTGAAAAGTCTTGTAGAATTAAGCCATTACAAAGACAACACTGTAAAAAAAATTCTGAAGTTTTTGAAACCCCAAGTGAGATACTTCTTTAAGACTACTTGTTTAATAAAATATTTATAATTACAACCTCCTTAGTTACATATTCTAATATTCTTTTTTTAAGTGCTTAGGCTTAATCAAACTTCTAAAATTGAAAAACCTGATTGCATAAATACTTTTCTATCAATTGATAAAAAACCCCAAAGGTTTTCTGAAAAGTATAATTGCTGAAGCTATGAGTGAGCTGTTTTAAAATATTTTTTTGTCTAGCTCTTTTCTGATATGGTTTAATATGAAAATGAAAGTTCTAAAAGCATAAACTTACCAGTTTCAATCATTAGTTTTTCACTAGGTATTGACTTCAGAACTTCCAAATTAGCCTCAGTTTTCAGTGAGCTTAAAAAAAATTTATAGATATATTTAACCAACTTTTTTTTCATATTACAAACTTATCTAAAACAGATTACAAAACCTAAAGTCCCCAAACAAAACTATGGCTACAATGGCAACATACACATTTCTATCCTTATAGAATCTAGGTTAGGATCTATTCTAACCACACTCTAGCAGGATGTAATTTTTTGTGTTTATCAGCTGACTATCCAATAACTTTCTGAATCAGTCTGTGTAAAACAACTTTTTAAAGAATTCGTTTGCTTCCCTGGGTAATTTGCATAACTTAGGCTCAAAATGCTGAGTTTGAAGGTATGGCCAGTTCTGTTATGGGCCAAATACTGATCTGAAGGAATCAAAGTTAATGTTTCACTAATCAATACAATCTTCACAAAGGATGAAAATCACAATCATAGAACTAGGAGTATTTAACAAGGAATGAAAAAACCTAGTTAGGAGATGTCCTTTTCCCCACATCTGGAAACAGGATCTTCCACTACTCTTGACATTCTGAAACTTAATGTGTCTGGGCAAGAGACTTTTTTCATTCATTTAGGGGAGTTAGAACCCTTCCAATTTAGACTCCTCCCCCCAACTCTGGGAAAAATTATGGGGAAAAGGAATTTTCCCCTTTTGTTTTCTCTCTCATCTCTTTGTGGGACTTGTATTAGTTAGTTTTACAACTCCTGAATTGGTCTGCTATGGCCCTGTTTCTTTTATCCTTTTCTGGGAAATTAACTTTCATTTCCTTAACTTTCATTTTCAGACCCTGAGACAGACTGGATTATTGGTCCCAATTCTTCACTTGCCTTTAATATAAATATATCTACACCCTTGCGATGGTTCTTAGTAGGAAGGAGGAGGAGCTTGAATCTGGCCATGGCCTCAAGACTTGCTTTGACCAGAGGCTTGAAAATGCACTTTTATTTTGATGGCACTTTTGTGATCTGAAAGTAGCATGCACTAAATAGCCATTACCTCTTCAGCCTGGGCACCCAGAATGAAAACACAGCTCAGATCTGAATTCAACATGTGCCTGTGGCAGAGAGATCTGCCTCTATCCATCAGTCAACCCTCAGATGATCCTAAGACCCAGAAGTATGAAAAAATACTTACTGTAATATGCCAGTGAGTTTTAGAATGGTTTGTTATATAATGTGATGATGACTAATACTGTCCTTATGTTATATTTTTAATTTTAGCATATATTTAACTTCGTATTATGGAGAGATTAAAATATATGTAAAACTAGAATACAGAACCCCCATGTATTCATTACCCAGCCCCAATCTATTATCAACTCCTGGCAGATACTATCCCATCCACTCATCCCAAACCTCTCCAGTATTATCTTGAAGGAAATTCAAAATGTTGTATAGTTTCAACATTCTAGCATTTATTTCAGAAAATATTTCAGCATCTGTCTCTAAGCATGAAGTTTTTTTTAAATGTAACCACAATACTATTAATCATGTCCAAGAAAACCCAGCTCTTTTATCATAATATATCCAGTATTCAAACTGTCTCAATGTCCTACATTATTAAGTTTGTCTGACTGAGGATCCAAATGAGGGCCACATTGCAACTGGTCAGTGTTCTAAATCTCTTAACCTATTAAGTTTTCCTGCATCTCTTTTTCCCTTTAAAATTTGTTAAAGAAACCCAGCTGTTTGCCCTGAAGAGTTTCCCAGTCTTGATTTCATCTGTGTTCATCTGGATTTGTGTCTGGGCTCTGTATTCTGTTCCACTGATCTAGGTGTCTGTTTAGTAGGTTCCTAATACATGTTTTTTAAGTAGAAGTATAGTGGACGTACAATATTATATTAGTTGTAGGTGTAAACCATAGAGATTTGACATTTGTTTACATCACCAAATACCAGTAAGTGTAACCATCTGTCACCATACAAACTTAGTACAATATTATTGACTATCTTCTCTATATTGTACTTTGCATCCACATGACTAATTTGTAACTGGAGTTTGTACCTCTTAATACCCTTAAAACAGCCACCAGTTCTCCATATTTTTGAGTTAAATGTTTTTTGTTTGCTCACTTATTTTTTAAGTAGGCTCCATACTGGATGTACTTTATTTGAAAAGTATTGTAGAATTAAGCCATTACAAAGATGACACTGTGTAAAAAAAAATTCTCAAGTTTTTGAAACCCCAAGGTGAGATACTTTAAGACTACTTGTTTAATAAAATATTTATAATTACACCTCCTTAGTTACCACATACTCTGACATCCCATTTTTAAGTATTTAGGCTTAATCAAACTTATGAAATTGAAAAATGTGACTGCATAAATACTTGTGCCAGTACCACATAGTTTTGATTACTATAGCTTTGTAGGACAGTTTGAAATCTAGGATTGTGATTAACTACAGCTTTGTTCTTCTTTTTCAAGATTACTTTGGGTCTTCAGGGTGTTCTATGGTTCTGTGCACATTTTAGAATTTTAGTTCTGTGAAAAAGACTATTGGTGTTTTGATAGGGATTGCACTGAATCTGTGGATTGCTTTGTGTTGAATGGACCTTTTAACAATATTAATTCTTCCAATCCATGAGCATGGTATATCTTTACATTTCTCTGTTTCATTCATCAGTGTCTCACAGTTTTCAGAGTTTAGGTCTTTAACTTCTTTGGTTAAATTTATTCCTAGGTATTTTTTTGCTTTTTGACACAATTGTCAATGGGACTGTTTTCTTAATTTCTCTTTCTGCTAGCTCTTTAGTGTATAGAGACCCAACTGATTTTTGTATTTTAACTTTCTATCCTGCAACTTTACTGAATTCATTTATTCTAATGGTTTTATGGTGGAGTCCTTAGGGCTTTTTCTAAAAATACTATGTCACCTGCAAATAGTGACAGTTTTACTTCTTCCTTGCCAATCTGGATGCCTTTTCTTTTTCTTGTCTGATTGCTGTGGTTATGACTTCCAGTACTGTGTTGAATATGAGTGGCTAGAGTGGACATCCTTGTATTGTTCCTAATCTCAGAGGAAAAGCTTTCAGCTTTTCACCACCGATTATGATGTGGGTTTGTCATATATGGTCTTTATTATATTGAGGTATGTTCCTTCTATACCCACTTCGTTGAGAGTTTCTATCATGAGTGGATTTGTTGAATTTTGTCAAATGCTTTTTCTGCATCTATTGAGACGATCATATGATTTTTATCCTTCATTTTGTTAATGTGCTGTTCAATTGGCAGACATAACCATTCTTGCATGCCTGGAACAAATCCCACATGGTCGTGGTGAATGATCCTTTTAATTGAATTCAATTTGCTGATACTTTGTTGAGGAATGCTTTATACTGTTTATCAGGGATATTTGCTTGTAATTTTCTATTTTGTAGTGCCTTTGGTTTTGGTTATCAGGGTAATGCTGGTTTCATAGAATGAATTTGGAAGCATTCCTTCCTCTTCAATTTTTTGGAATAGTTTGAGAAGAACAGGTATTAACACTTATTTAAATGTTTGGTAGGATTCACCTGTAAAGCCATCTGCTTCCAGACTTTTGTTTGTTAGGAGTTTTTCTTATCACCAGTTCAATTTCATTACTAGTGATCAGTCTGTTCAGATTTTGTTTCTTGCTGATTCATTCCTGGAAGATTATATTGTTCTAGGAATTTATCCATTTCTTCTAGGTTGTCTGATTTGTTGGTGTATAATTTTTCAAAGTAGTCTCTTAAAATCCACATTTTGTGGTGTTGGCTATTTCTTCCCCTTCATTTCTGATTTTGAGTCTTTTGTTTAAAAGTCTGGCTATAGGTTTATCTATTTTGCTTATTTTTTCAAAGAACCAGCTCTAGTTTCATTGATTGTTTTTTCTCTCTTTTTAAGTCTATTTCATTTATTTCTGTTCTGATCTTTACTATCTCTTCTAATTTTCAACTTCATTTGTTCTCCTTTTTCTAGTTTCTTTAGGTATAACGTTAGATTGAGATTTTTGTTTTCTTGAGATAGGCCTGTATTGCTCCAAACTTCCCTTTTAGAACTGCTTTTGCTGCATCCTATAAATATTTTGAACTGTTGTGTTTTCATTTGTCTCAAGGTATTTTTTGATTTCCTCAATCTACTGGTTGTTCAGTGGCATGTTCTTTAGCCTCCATGTGTTTTTGTTTTTTCCAACGTTTTTCCTGTAATAGATTTTTTTTTTTAAGAATTTATTTTTTTAAGTCTCTAAACCCATCGTGGGGCTTGAACTCACAATCCTGAGATCAAGTCGCATGTTCTACCAACTGAGCCAGCCAGGCACCCCTCTGTGATTGATTTCTACTTTCATACTGTTGTTTTTTTTTTTTTTTTTCATACTGTTGTAATCAGAAAAGATGCTTGACAGGATTTCAATCTTCTTACGTTTACGGAGACTTGTTTTGTGGCACACATATGAACTATCATGGATAACGTTCCATGTACACTGAATGTGTATTCTATGTTTGGATGGAGTGTTCTGTATATCTTTTAAGTGTATTTGGTCTAATACTTCGTTCAAAGCCACTGTTTCTTTATTGAGCTTCTGTTTGAATGATCTATCCATTGATGTAAGTGGGGTGTTAAAGTCCTCTACTATAATTGTATTGCTATCTATTTCTCCCTTTATGTCTGTTAATGAATTGCTTTATGTATTTAGATGCTATGTTGAGTGCAGATATTTACAGTTGTTATATCCTCTTGTTGGATCCCTTTATCATTGTGCAATGCCCTTGTCTCTTGTTACAGTTTACTTCAAAACAAAGATTGTATCATTTAAGTATTGCTACTGCAGCTTTTTGTTGCTGCTGCTTCTATTTGCATGGAATATCATTTTCCTCACACTTTCAGTCTGCATGTGTCTTTAGGTCTGAAGTGAGTCTCTCATAGGCAGCGTATAGAAGTTTGTTTTTTTTTAATCCAGTCACCCTGTGCTTTTTGATTGGAGTATTTGATCCATTAATGTTTAAGGTAATTATTGATAGGTATGTGCTTATTACCATTTTTGTTAACTGTTTTCTGGTTG